AATAACTATTTTTCAACAAAAAATATTTGTAGGGGGACCAAAAGTTCTAAAAACTTCTTCATCTAATAAGCTATCTTATGGTGTTCTCGAAGTTCTAAAAATGTCAACCCTTCAACGGTTAAATCAACCTGTCATTTTTACAAAAAAAAAATGTGGTTCAAATGTGTAAATTTAAAGCATACATAAAAAGAGTGAACTGCGATTTCGAAAATTTTAAACAGGATTGTTGATGATGCAGGATTTAAAAAGGAATTCGTTCATAAGATTTTGAGCTGAAGAGAACAATTGGTGAGATATCGAAACACAAATAAAAAATTAAAAAAATAGCTGCGAGTAATTTCAAATAAATAAAATAAAAATATCCCCTGTCATGTATGTTTTTGAACTTAAGGCAATTAATCAAAAGTCACGTACATTTTAAGTGGGGCTTTAAAGATAATTTTGTAAATGATTTTCAAATAGAAAATTAAGTAACACAACATGCAAAGAAGCGTTCATTCAATAATTATTAAATATTTATGAATTTTGCATAGACCTTACAATAGGCTAAACCCGTACAACGTCTGTGTCATGCCGAACTGTTGGTTCGTTGTATTTTATATATATTAAATATTTTATTCGTACCCAATTTAAGGGGTAGTGTACAACAACTACAACTAACTAAACATAAAAATAAAATGCCACATCCACAAATGTGATCTTTAAAACCCCTCTTAAAAGGTATTTGTATTTATATTAATTGCCTTAAGCTTAAAAACATACATGGTAGGGGATTTTTTTTTAATTACTAGCAGCTGTTTTCTTTTTTATTTACATGTTTTCATACCTCACCAATGTACTTTTCAGCTCAAAAGCCTCATGAATGAATTTCTTTCTTAAATCCTGCATCATCATCAATGCTGTTTGAACCGCTTTTGTTTGTTTTTTTAAATACTAGGTTGATTTCATCGTTGTTGGAACTTCGAGTACACTGTAAGAAAGCGTATTAAATGAAGGTTTTCAGAGGTTTGGCACACCTCCAAATATGTTTGTTAAAAAAGTTATCTTTGGAAATTTATCAAACGTTTCTCCTTTTTTAAAATTTATACATACATCGGTGTTTGATAAGATCACAAATAGCTCCTTCTTATAGGAAATTTAATGCAGAATTCAAAAATGTGGTTAAAATTGGAAATTGCTCCAGATCTTTAAAAAATGCTAATTTTTGGCTTAAGGTAAGGATTTTTCGAGAAAAAAAAACTAAAATTGACTGGATTGGAATAGAACAGTTCGATTGGTTGCATTTTACTCTATTTACCCAATGTGTTTCGAGTTTATACTGGACCACACTGAAAATCAGTCGATTTTTTTTCCACATAGGATAAGCAAATAGTAATGTAGGATCGTATCAAATGAGATCGGATATACACTGATGGACAATATTAGCGCACCACTCAATTTATTTAATTTAAAATTAAATCCATTATCTTTAACGGTGGAATATTGGAGCGCTGGCTTGGTCGTAAATGGGAAAACCCGTCTTTCTGTCACTGAGCAAACATCTCCGGCGTACATTCTCAAAAAGTCAAAAACGTTTATTCTTTATTGGTAATCCAATCGAGATTATATTGTAGAGGTGGTTGAATTGTATGAAAGTTTACCATGTTTACGGAAAGTGGTGGACAATGATTACCACGATAGAAATAAAAGAAATTCGGTCCTCAACCAGTTGGTTGACGTTTTCAAAACAAAGGATACCAATGCAACGAGAGATGCGGTATTGATAACCCCTAACGCTGATCAGAAATCGTAGTAGAGAACTTAAGTTCTTTGCAGTCATCCCTGTAGCGAGAAATCGTAATGTGGTTGCCAACCTTTCATGTAGTGATGATTTCTCTCATGTCTGTCTTTTGTTTTCTAATCAAGGGGGTAACAAGCTGGAGTAAATATAAATAAGACGTTAATCTTTTTTTTTTCTTGTAAGATTTTGGTTAAAATGAAAAAATAGTGTCACGAGGGGATTCGAATCCACGACATTCGGATAAATACGCCGCTGCGCTAACCACTTGAGCTATCCTGACTTCGATAGTTCGATCCACTCGGGCACCAACTCCCCATCTCAACTTACAACCTTTCGAATTGTCTTTTTTTTTGCCATTTTTTGGTGTCGGAGAGGATCGAAGTCACGATAGCTCAAGTGGTAGAGCAACGGCGTATTTATCCAAAGGCCATGGATTCAGATCCCGCTCGTGGCACTAGCTTTTTCATTTCAACCAAAACCTTACAAAAAAGATTAAATAATTGAAAGAAGTAATTTGGTCAATAGAACACTAAATATAATGAATAAATAAGACGTTTCATCCATCCTTAAATAGTTCCTCCAATCAGCGGGTTCAAGGGAAAGATCTTTCATCAAATTGATGTGGGTATTACGGCTTCTGTTCAGGAGCCAATTCTTATACCATTTCCTCTTCGATATTTTGCTTTTAATATATAAACAAACAGCAGCGTAACCATTTTGAGAAGGTAATTCACTAGATAACGTTCGGAGCGACTGGCTGTGGAGCGGTCGTGAATGCCCCCTCAAATTTCAGGCATTCCTAATGGAGCTATACGGCTTGGCGCGGTTCCATTTGGAGTGATCGTGAATGGCAACCTTTACAGTATCTTTATTAAAATATGCAAAAACGGAGTATTTTGTTGATTTATCTTTTTAAATTATGCCAAATTAGAATATTCTGCATCATAGAACATTTCTGTTTTTATCTTAACCAATACGCCAAAAGCAATATTTGTTAATCTCTAAATAACGATTTAATTAAATTGCGACTAAACTTAGATTATGAAAAAAAAACTTCGTGGCCGTGAATAAAACGTTCTGCTACCATTTGTCTCACCCTCTCTTCGCCGGTTTCCTACCAGCGGAGGTGGAATTAGAGAGTAGAGTAAAAGATTAAGGGAAAAGAAAGAAAATTTAAAAATAAACCTCGGTTACAAACACATTATAATTGAAATTTAAATATTGATAATCCCTCCATCAATTAAACAAATAATATTAGCTAAATTAGAAGTATTTTTTTCGCCTTCCTTAAATTCTATTTCCAAATCTCCTTAACTCGGTTTACAGTCAGTTTCACGTCTCAAGCGACTTGAGTGACTTCGCCCGCCTACACTTAAACCTTCCGGTTGGAATGGGTTTTGACTTCCTCCTTGATTCGCGGTCCACCCAGGATCGCGACAACTGCGAGATGTGATAGGCTCAACTCTCTCATGCCTTTATTTATCAACATGCGTGCACAGATTTGAGCTTATATAAATCAGACATCACTCAGCAGTATTCATTTATAATTATGAGGCTTTTGAGCTGAGGAGTACACTTGGTGAGGTATCGAAACACAAATAAAAAAATAAGACAGATGCGAATAATTTCAAATAAATAAAATAAAATATCCCCTGTCATGTATGTTTTTGAACTTAAGGCAATTAATCCAAATTCACGTACATTTTAAGTGGGGCTTTAAAGATAATTTTGTAAATGATTTTCAAATAGAAAATTAAGTAACACAACAAGCAAAGAATGTTTATTCAATAATTATTAGATATCTACGAATTTTACATAACGACCTTAGAATAGGCTAAACCCGTACGACGTCTGTGTTATGCCGAACTGTTGGTCCGTTTTATTAATTTTTTTAATATGTATATCTTTTTTAATTGTTTTGTTTGTAGTAAACAAATTGTAAACAATTTGTAGTAATTACTAGTACATTTTACAATTTGGATAATGCAAGAATCACGACAATGATGTCAAATCCAAGTTTTGACCGTTTTCTGACCTACTTTGTTCTTTATTAAAATATGCAAAAAGCAGTATTTTGTTGATTTATCTTTTTAAATCATACAAAATTGGAAATTCTGCGTCATAGAACATTTTTGTTTTTATCTTAACCAAAAAACAATTAATGCACCAAAAATAATATTTTTTAATCTCTAAATAACGATGATCATTTAATTGCGACTAAAATTAGATTTTTAAAAAAGCTTCATTAACCCGATGACTCAGTTTTCTTCTCTGGTAAAAAAAAATCGGTATTTAAGGGCTTTACAATGCTAGATCAGGACAATGAGATCAAATCCAAGTTTTGACCATTTACTAAAGAATCCTCATAAATATTTTTCACTGTTGGATACATGTAATATTACTGAACTGCACTAATCTAAACATTCTATTTCACTATTCTATTCTAAATCTAAATAAGTTCTGGCATTTGCTTGCTTACAAATCTAAGGAGTTTGACAAGTGAGAATAAGTAATTCCACAAATACCCCCACTTTTCCAATAACAACGTGTTCATTATAAATAGACTTAAGGGAATTCTTAATAAACCAACATAACATGGGCAGCGGAACAAAAAGGGCTGCACTCTCAGGGATTTGGATATTCAAAACAGCCTTGCCCCCCACAAAGACATACCGATTTCAAGCCAAATATTAAGGACTATACCTAGATACACAAGAAGATATAGACAACCATGAAGATTTCTAGGACCAAAATCCATCTTGACCATCAACACTAAACTAACCTTACACAAGACTTCACTACTACCTCTTTAGACATATCACGGTGGAACTGTGGTGTTCTACCAAACCAACATCCAGCATATCTAATTTGTCCAATCAAAAGTACTCAGACAAAATGTCAAACCTCCCTTCTACGACACTAACCTCACTATCCACAATGAATTCCTTTGTTTAACGAATTGATCAATTCCTGATTCAAAATATCTATCCCTAACTTGTTGATTCATCTGAACCCTACTGCTCAAACCCTGTCAGCACATTCCCACCCATGTAGCCTTAATCGACTTCACCTTGACTATGGTGTCCTAGGATGGAGCCCTTCAATCTCACTTTCCTATCAGCTTCCATCTGATTGCTGTTCTTGTTTGCATACTTATATTTTTATTTACAATTAGCATTATGACAAATTAGCAATTGCTAAAAAAAAATTTCATTTTCAGGTAGAGCCCGGGTCACCACAACCATCAGTCGACCGCCTCTCTGTTACATTTGTGGATGAAGAGAAACCAACTGATCCTGGTGAAAAAGTCAGATTCAATGACGAACAAAGACAAGGTTTTCTACTGAAAGTTTCTTCTTCTTTTTCCATTTAAAACAACTATTCAATCCCCCCCCCCTAGAGGTTGATGATAAAATCACAAGCCCAGCAGAAGAGGATGATGATTACTCAGCCACATTTAATGCTATTATGACCAGACAAGGAAGCCGTAAAAGTAGCCGTAAAAGAAGGACCATCAAAAGAAGGTGTTCAAGCCCATTTTCTCCAGAGCCAGAAACTTTTCAGAATATAAGGCGGCGATCTTCTGTATTTACAACAAGTTCAGGAGAGTAAGTAAAGTGCCCCTTTTTTTACTCTTGTAAGCAAAAGTTTACCGAAGTCCCAAATTGATATCAAATGATATTCTTCATCTTGCTATTTAATTAGTTGCTATAATCACTTAAAAAATATATGATGTTATTTTTTTGTTAGCCAGTTCTTTAGTAATTAATTATATATAGAGTTCAAAATTAAAGCATAGAGTTTAGTTTTGAAAGTTTTATATGCACTTTCCTTTGAATTATATAGACAGTAATTATTTAGCAACCAGCATTTATTATTTATTTTACTTTGTAAAATAAAATTCATTCCCCCCTAAATATAGTACAGCTATTTCAATGGAAGAAACCACAACCCAAGAGCAGATATTTCAAAAAATGAAAGTGCATAAAGAAGTTTTGAGTCAGGTTAAACACCAGCCTTGGCCAATGCATCGGAAGGTAGGCAAAACATTGATTTAACATCCTATCAACATCAACAATCACGTACAAATCAAGTAATTTAATTTCAGCTCAAACTTGTACAGACTGCCAAAGCTTATATCAAAAGGCATGAAGGGGCACTGCATGAAAGACTCGCCCATAATAAAAACACAAAAGATGTCTTAGCACATTTTAATATTATTATTATTAATGTAAGTCAATTTTTTATTGAATAAAAATAGAATATAAAAACATACATTTGAAAAAATATAAACAAGTGTTACTGCTACCCATGATGGTCCTCCATGTATCTAAACTAGAGCATCTCAGCAAAACATCAGTGTCACACTTAGGTCTGGAGGGTAACAAAAAGGTGGATGAGGTGGCTAGTCCACCCTGTCCCAACCTCTTGGCCTAACCGCCACGATCTTGCCCTGTGCCTAAGAATGTGATTTAGACCATGAATGGAAATGGGAGAGACAGTGCAGAGCTCTCATATATCAAGACCTCATTGATTTGCCTTCAGAGGATCTGATGGAAGAAGAGGGATCATAATTACCTGACTAAGAACAGGCTATGTGAGGTTGTAACACGGACAATTTTGTATGTCCAGCATGTAGAGAAATGTTGGCTCGATGTGTCCCAGATATTTGAAAGATGTCATTCCTTGGCTCCATGTTGAAAGCAAGTAAGAATGCCACCCGATATAATAATAAGTATAATTACAATTATTGTATTTGCACGGCAACGAGTATTACGAGTATTTGGGTCCCGTGGTCTGATCTTTGGTGGAAACAGAGCTGTTTTATTGTATAAAGTTTAAACTAACCATCCTTAGTGTTAAATTTGAAGGGCAGGAAGTAATCAAAAAGTCAGGACTTCAAGGTAGAAAGGGTTAAAGCACAGCAAATGAAGTGAGGGAGAGAATTCCAGAGGTTGTAAGACTGGATAAGGAAGGAACAATTAAAAGCATTTGCATGAGGGAAGTAGAGATTAGAGGGGTGGGAACGAGTGTGGCAAATATATATAGAAGATTTAAGAAGGGAACAATTGCCTGATAGAAGACAGCCAAGGAAGTATAGCCTGCAGTAGGAAGAATACAGCTATTTCAAACTGTATACAGGTGTGTGTGTGTGTGTGTGTGTGTGTGTATGTATGTGCATTTCAGGTGTGCAAAACATATATAAATCAATAACCAGTCAACAGTATAAACAACTTTTATTTACGATTTGTTTATATTTTATGATATATACTTATATATATCATATTTATACTTTTCAATTATGTACTGACAAATAAATGTTAAAACGTATGAACCTAATTCACTATTTTTTGCCAACTATAGCATTTTGTAATGTTGTTTTGTTGATTGAACGGTTAATTATTTAAATATTCAATATGTAATTAACTTTAAATTTTCAAATTTAGCAAATAAGAATCCTAAGGGATTGTTAATTCTTGTTTAATAACTATGAATTGTGTTTCTAGCAATGGCATCACTTAAAGCGTGAATTAGTCAACTTCTCAAAATTTCTTATACCATGGGAATCAAGAATAAAGGAAATAGAATCTCATTTTGGTTCAGTAGTTGCCTCCTATTTTACTTTTTTAAGGTGGCTATTCTCAGTTAACTTTGTGATTGCAATAGTATTAGTCACTTTTGTTGGATTACCCGAGGTAACTGATAATATGTAATTATATTGTTTATTCTTCATTAAATGCTGTTGTATAGATTTTCATGGCAAACAAAGATGATGATAATGGCGAAAGAAAAGGTTTATTGCCTTCGGAACAAAAAAAAGCAAGAAATATAATCACACTATGGAATTTTGAAGGCGTTTTGAAATATTCCCCACTTTTTTATGGATATTATAACACTAATGGCACCCATGGATTCAGTTTTTGGTACAAACTCCCTCATGCCTATTTCATGACTGGTTTAGCAGTGTACATCTACAGCTTTGTAGCTATACTCCGCAAGTATATTTCTTTTGTTTATATTCATTGAAAACCAATGACTAAAATTGAATTTCAAGTGTAAGCCAAATTTATTTTTAAGAACAGAAGTCATGTATTTTCAGAATGGCTGAAAACTCCAGACAGAGCAAGTTATCCGAGAAAGATGACGAATGTGTATTTTCATGGAAGATTTTTACTGCATGGGATTACATGATCGGCAATGCTGAAACAGCTCATAACAGGACAGCATCGATTATACTAGGATTTAAAGAAGCATTGTTAGAAGAAGAAGAAAAGAAAAGAGAAGAAGGTCGAAAGTAATTATCCATCGTTTGAATACCAAAGCGAACAACTTAACAAAAAATTATTTCAGTTGGAAAATGACTTCATTGAGGATACTGACAAATTTAATGGTTTTGGGTCTCATCGTAACTTCTGTATATGTTGTTCAATCAGTTGTACAAAGATCGACACAACCTGATGCTGAATCTTCCTGGTTGAGGCAAAATGAAGGGACTATAGTAACAACACTTATCTGCAATATTTGTCCGATATTTTTTGACTTAATTGGAATGCTTGAGCGATATCACCCGAGAAAAGCACTTAGGTTACAACTGGCAAGGTAGAAAGATTCAAATATATAAGCTAAATTGAGAAATTGTGAAGCCAGCAGAAAATAAAACTTTAATGCACATTGATAATTATTGTTCAAAAATCATTAATTTTATTACTTTATATTTATTTGGTTTTAATAATGTTGCACAAAAGATTATGAAGCTTCATGTTTGACCATTAAAATGTGTCTGGCAGACAAACCCTAGAATATTCTTGTCAAGTTGATAGAGATCAGTTACTACACTTCCCACATAACTATGTGCCCCCACAAATCTATGCCATTAATTAAAAAATAAATAAAAAATTAAGTAAAGTAAAATTTAAAAAAAGAAAAGAATGAAGAAAAAAAATCAATAATAACTTTTTTTAAGTTCTGCAACGAAAAGGTCACTAAAATAACAAGGGAGGGTGTATTCTGTAATTGTAATTTACTTACCCAATTCCTTCCTGTATGAAGTGCAGGGAGCTCAGACCCTAAAAAAACATAATGTATTATTAATTTGTTTTAGGATTATGGCACTCTATCTCCTCAATCTTTGTTCATTTATTTATGGGACATTTTCTCAAGTACACACCAAGGTCTGTGTTTCATTTTCATGTTGCCATAAGCAATAATAAAATTCATAATCACATTTTACAGTCAAGTGAGCTTCGGAATTTCACTTTAACTTCACACTTTGGTCAGCCCAATGCGACTTCAAAGCCCACAATAGGCACATTCACAACTAGCCAGACTTTTACAGCCTATTCTAAAAAACATGCAAGAACTGAGAATAGTGTGATTTGCAGACAGGTTGAAGTTGACTGTTTAATTTCAAGTACTACAACAGCTATGGCAATTGCTCTATTGTTAACTTCGACTGTGAATACCACTCAAAGCACTACAAGCACTGACTTCAACTATGGGGGAGAAATTTTAAATAATTCTTCAGTAATGAACTTTGATTATAGTGATGGGGTGCAAAGTGAGTCATACTATCCCAATTCAACAATATTGAGTTTGGACTCTCTTCCTGATCTTTCAATGTCTAGTAATAACGAAATGGATTCTAATAGAACAAATGATTCAAAATCTGTGCAAACTCCAGGAAATAAATGTTATATACAAAGATGTGAAGATGTAAATGGAAATATTACAGAAATATTAACTAATTTTACAACTGATAGAAATTGGGATTTTTCATCAACCAACACTCAAACAACAATATCAGGTTAATTATTTTTCTATTTAAATTTCCTTAATGTTAAAAAGCAAATTTATAATTTTCAGGAGCAACGGAGTTAGATGATCCTAACCCAAATCGATCCCGTTCATCCAAAAAGTTAGATATGGAAACAAGAAAAAAATTGAGGTCACTTTGCTGGGAGACATCATTTGGTCAAGCTCTTGTCAAATTGACAATAATGGACCTGGTAAAATTTAATTTAAAAAAAAAAATAATAAACATCAACTTAAATTGTTTTTTTCTTAAGGTAATGACAATAACATCAATTCTTGGAATGGATTTCTTCCGAGCTCTGTTTATACGGTTGATGAACAACTGTTGGTGTTGGGATTTGGAGAAACAGTTCCCACGTTATGGAGATTTCAGAATTGCTGAAAATATTCTCCACTTAGTCTACAATCAAGGGACAGTTTGGATGGGAATGTTCTTTTCGCCAGGACTTCCTCTAATTAATTTGCTCAAACTTGCCATTATTATGTATATGAGGTGCAGGATTTATTTTTTTTTTAATTTAAAAAATTGTTGTTTATTTTATTAAAATCCGAAGGTCCTGGGCAGTGCTAACTTGCAATGTACCACATGAAGTGGTATTCAAGGCATCCCGTTCTAATAATTTCTACTTTGCCCTGTTGCTCACTATGCTTTTCTTGTGTGTTCTTCCGGTTGGATATGCCATCGTTTGGTTTGAACCTTCTTGGCACTGTGGGCCGTTTTCAAATCACACAAAAATTTATCACATATTTACTAGCAGCTTAAAAAAGGTATTGTTATACACTTTTGAAACCCTCTGTGTGTACAATTTGAATGTAATTTTTAGGTGATTCCAGTATCTTTGCATAAAGCATTAGATTACATTGCATCACCAGGAATTGTTATTCCATTATTGATGCTTTTAATTTTGATAATATACTATTTAATATCACTTACAAATGCTTTACGAGAAGCAAATGATGACCTCAAAGTAAATAAATACAATTAAGTAATAATTTGTAATATATAAACATTGTGAAATTATTTTATTTCTTGTAGATTCAACTAAGAAGGGAAAGAACAGAGGAAAGGCGAAAAATGTTTCAATTGGCTGAGAAAAGAAAAAAGAACACAGAAGCTGATATGCCTTTTAATAAATGGAAAAAATTATTAAATTCAGTTCCTGAGGGTACTAAAATGCCTATAGATTTATCAGATATTAGAAGTGACTCCCAAGAGGTTAACATAGATTTAGAGAAAAAAGGTAAATTAATTGATGATACTCCTTTTCCTGTTTTTCGATTTATTGTCTTTCCTTCAAGTGACAATCAGGCAATGAAATAACAAACTGCTTCAACCATTTATTCATTAGTGCCGATGGAGTTCAGTACCTATCTTCAACGATTGTAGAAGTTTAGATAGAAGAAAGTAACTCTTTTGTTACAAACAAATGAGCATTAATAAATAAATGGTTGAAGTAGTACATTATTTCTTTTATTTTGCTGAGTTATACAAAATGACCTTTTTTCCCCACCCATAGAAAATGAAAATAAAACAATAAAGAAACCTTGGGGAGAGTCATCTAACACTTCTGAGGAAGGGATTCCGCATATTGATAAAGACACAGACAAAGATAAAACTGTTGGCACAAGTATTCAAAACATCATCAAAAGTGTATTAAAATTGAAAAAATCAGACAAAACTGAAGCTCTGAAAGCATCTAATAATGAGGATAAAGTATTTAGAGAAAGGGAGGATTCAACCGTGTCAGGATGGTCTGCTGACATTCCAGAAATAAAGATCTTTTCGACTGACTCAAATGAGAATACACTAGACACAAGCCCAGATACGACAAAACGTTCAATGTCTAGTTCGGACACAATAATTGCAATAGAAGATGATAGCAATGCTTGCATTAATGGAGAGAAAAATGAAAGGAAAAAGGGAAAACTTTCAAAGATTAAAGCTAAACATGAAGAAGAGGAAAGTCTTGGAATAGGTGGCAGTTATGAGTCGATTGCGAATTCAATAAGAAGGATGCACAATCTCACAAAAGAACATATGCCAAGTAAAGAAAGTTCAAAAATTCGAGCAAGAAAAGCGATAGCAAGTGTTCTTTTAAATGAAGGAAGAAGACGTTTAAGTGAATCACATAAATAATGGTAAAAAAATTTTTAACCAATATTTTATTACAATAAGCAAATTTTTTTATAAAAAAGTGTAATTTTTCATGGTTGCATTGGAAGGAGCAAATAATAAAAATTATTCCCCCAGTTATTCAGATATCGTGAGATGCGGTCGGGAGTGATGCAGGTTTCAGAAAAACATTTTCTTTATCGTGCCAACGTTTCGATCTTTTATTGAGATCATCTTCAGGGCTCAAAGTGTTTGTCTTCTGTGTAATTGTGCCATCCTTGTGTGTCGTGTTGAGAGTGCCCACACAAGGATGGCACAATTACACAGAAGACAAACACTTTGAGCCCTGAAGATGATCTCAATAAAAGATCGAAACGTTGGCACGATAAAGAAAATGTTTTTCTGAAACCTACATCACTCCCAACCGCATCTCACGATATCTGAATAACTATAGATTAACGGTCACTAATCTCTACACATTATTCCCCCACTTCACTTACTTTTCCACAAAATGGAGGCTACAGGATTATTTCCACTTAAGATGCCTTAGGCAAGACAATTTAGGTTTAGGATGATGGGAGAGTTATTGTGGAACTTGGTAATTTTTTGATAAATAGGATTTTGAGGTCATTGTGGCAAGTAGTATTGGAGACATAAAACAGAGCATTTATAATAATTGACCTGAGGTTTTTAGACTAAAGGGATTGGAGACGGTAGATATTGGAAAGTTTGAAAGTTGTATTCCGAACATCTAAATCAGTTGTTGTAGTTCTGTAGAAATTAGTTTTCCATCAATAACTTGGATTGTCCTAAAAGTTTGTAGGGAGTCTGTTTAGGTTTTGTCTTTTCAGTCATGTATGTTCATTCCAAGTTAAACATGCATCTGAAGGAACCCAAGATAACAAAGACAGTCAGATTTGGAGATAGGAACATTGATGTTTGAGATTGGAGTGTAAATGTGGCATGGAAGCACTTGCTTTCATTTAGGTTTATTTTCGATTGTCTACACTCATCTACAATACTTGTAATATAAGGGGACTATAGTGGACGAGTAGTTAGTGTCAGATCATATTTGCCATGTTAGTGGTTCTGGGTTTGAAACCTGGCAGAGCCCATGGCTTTTTAATTGATAACGGTATGAAAAATGTATGTATTGTTACTACTCCTCGTCTTTTTTATAGTTGATTATCTTTTCTTCTTTGGTTGAAGATGTTCACGTATTATTTGTCTCAATTTATCATCATTGAAAAATATATGGTAAAGTGGTTTCATCTGCAACACCAAAGGGGAGGTGAAGTCATATTCCTCCAATATGACAGGAATTACTGTGATAAGCAACTTTAAGATAAGGATCAGAAGATCGTACCGTTTTGTCATCAGAAAAGATACAAGGAAAGTGATAAGTCTTGGACATCAACGGTACAAAGGATTGGTCTAAACATATTTCCCTGCTATATTCCCATTGCAAGAGAGCGGTAAGTCAGTCCGTTGCTAGAGAGCAGTAGTCGGATTAATCTTATCCTTGTCAGATCCGGATAGTAAAAATTATATTATACTTATTATACTTAACATAGATAAGACATCATATCATGACTTAACATAGACATCATAATACCTGCCTATTCTCGCTGATTTGTATTAATTCACACATTTCGGCATATTACCAACAATATGTTTATCATCCCACAGACTGCAAGAGGGAATCTTACAGTATTTTACTATTATTATTTTAACGAAAGTTGCATCAGCAGTGATCATATCACATGAACTCATCTAAACTGTTTCCTAAGTGAAATGCATCATTTTTAACTCATAAGAACCAATCAGTGTAGATTCTCCTTGAAATTGTCATTAATTCCATTATTTTGTTTTCATTTCCCACACGTTTTGTTCAAAATTATCCACAACTTTTGCAAAGATTTTTTCTGTTGAGCTTGAGTATTTTGAAAACTTGGACACCACTACTCAAAAATACTAAACCTAGTCGACTTTCTTCAATGTTATTTGTTAAATTAAGCAGCTTAATTGTTTTCTTTGCAGATGTTCCAGTCTCCAGTAGGATCAAACTTTCGTACTGTATCGATTCCACCAATTGTACATAAGTAGCCTTTCAGCTACCGTCTTATCTTTCGGCATTAAAGACCGAAAGTAAAGAATGTTTATAATTATCCACTTGATTGGTTGATACTTGTAGCATTTAACATATTCAAGAAAGCCACAAAACCTCACCAATGAGAATTAAAAGTAAAACTCACATTCTTTTGTTCATCGAACGCTACAATTAGAATTATTCTTGTCATATTTGTGTCATTTGTCTTAAATATATAATTGTTTTCTTCTTGGTGTTCTCAATATTTCTGTACTATTTGACAATTTTCATAGTTTATACTTCATGATGCACTAACAATCCAAGAATCTCCTAACAAAATTTGGAAGGAAAGAGGTAACAGCACATATTAATGAAGGAGGACAAAACTGTGAATCCTAACAGGACTCTTAACAGAACATTTCAATCTAAATGTACTTTTGAAGAAGATTGGCATAACCCAACACGGCAAGTGCAGATTCTGCAAAGAAGCATAGGAAACACCAACATACCTACTATAAACTTTGGTGCTACATATATTGCAGGAGGAAGTGTTTTGCGACATATATTGTAACCGTAGAACTAACCGTAAAACAACCAATGAAACTTGACTAGTAAGTAAGTTAGTAAATAAGTTCCTTGATGAACTAAGACTCACTGCTGTGCTAGAAGCACAGAACGGGTGATACAACAGCTCTTAAAGGGTGCAGTATAATACACATCTTGACTAATACATCTACCTAAAGAACTAGGAAAAATAGAATAAGTGAAAAGGTCACTCTGACTACATCCTGTGGGAGTGGTAGTGCCACAGGGCAGCGTGCTCGGACCACTCCTATATCTCCTTTACACCTCAGACATCCCAAATACACCCTCTACTCTCCTTGCACCCTTTACAGACAACACAACTTTCCTCAGATCTGAATCCTACCATTGCCTCAGGAGAGCTCCAAGCACATATCCAACGAATAGCTGAATGAAGCAAACTTTGGAGGATAAACATCAATGAAAACAAAAGCACCCATGTTACAATTACCCTCAGAATTAATTCCCACCAAATTTTCCACATTCTGTGAAAACTATCCTCACATCATAACACATTAGCCTGATCCATGTCAAACATTATCCATCCTAACAACCCAGTAAGGCAATTGAAGTAGAGATGGCCCTGGGGCCTCCTTATGAGTAGTTCATAAATATTGGGTTGTCCGGAAAATAATGCAGGATTTTGGTATTAANAAAATCCTGCATTATTTTCCGGACAACCCAATAGTTATTCAGAAAGCTGGGAAGAGCAACAATGGTTGCTGGCTCCCCTCGGGATATTTGCAAATGATAAATATTGTATCATATTATATAATGTATATATTTGTTCAGTTGATAAAAAATAATAATAAATAGCCTTACAAAATAGCCCAAAGTCTCAACAAAAATTTAAAACGTTAAAATATACAGATATGTTCAATGACAAGTCCACTTGTTTTTAAAAATAACAGACATGCTGAAGATGGAGAAATGTAGAAAAGTGTCTGGCCAATTGTAAAATTATTGGTAACAATATTTTAAAAAACAAACCGATCTTATGGCAATTCAAGGCGTTTTATTATTGGTTTCAAATGAATATTTATTAACATCTCACATATTGATTGATCAGGACAAGTATTGTTACTCCAATAGTTTATATTAATCCACAAATGTTTAGCAGCCATAATTGACCATATTTATTATGTAATTAAGTATTCTTTTTATCTAAAGTCTAAAGTTGAAAAAGTTAGTGCCATGAGCGGGATTCAAACCCATGACCATTGGCTCTATGCCACTGCTCTAGCCATTAGACTCATTGTAACTTAGTGTCATGATAGCTCAAGTGGTTAGAGCATCAGTGTATTGAGCCGAAGGCTGTGGGTTCGAATCCTGTTCGTGACACTTTTTCATCTCACCCAAGACCTTATATAAAAAGAATATTTAATTGTAATAATTTATCTTTAATTATTAATACTACGCGTATGTTTCTTAGTGATCTGTTGTTTCATAATTTGTTGAAGTCATGAGGAGCAGTCAAAAATGAGGTAGTTTAGAAAAAAAAACCTTTTTCATTTTTTTGCTGGGGTTTCCACCCTTATTCAGGTCAACTTCAGGCCATAAAGTGTGGTGCTATTCTTGTGGTGTCAAATTTGAATTATCTTGTGTGATGTGTGAAAATGTTGTGACACAAGAATAGCACCACACTTTATGCCCTGAAGATAACCTGAATAAAGGTCGAAACGTCGGCAAAAAAATGAAAAAGTTGTAACTACCTCATTCTTGACCGCTTCTCACGACTTCAACAAATTATCAATTCTACATTGAAAGAATCAACTTAAAAAAAAAATAGTAATAAGAATAAAAAGAAAAAAGTGATAAATTTTACAATTATTTAATTAGTTATCTGTTTATGATTAATTATTATTTTTATGCAAGGCGGTTGAAAAGAAAAATTAGTGCCACGAGCTAGACACTAATTTTTCTTAATCTTTTCTAAAAAGTTAGTTATTACTCACAGTTTATTGTTTTCAATTATCCGGATATCAAGCTTAAAGCTCACCATCAGGTTGGAAGATAACGAACATGTCTCTGCCTGAATTGTGAAGAGTGAACCCGCCGTTTTATTGGCGCTCAATTTTGAACGTAACGGACGATAAATTTGAATTTCAAACGACTAAATATTATTTTAATAAATACTATAAGAAAATAATTTTAAATCGTGATTAATCTGTACGTCACAATTTTTAAATTCTACGTTTAATTATATATTTTTTATTCCAAATTTCTCAAATCAATCAAGTTACCCCTCTTTGTTGAAACTGTATAACGTTGATATATTTAAATGTAAATTGTGTTTTGTTTTATTTAAATGGTCCTTAAATTCAGAAAATTTGTTTGATTTGGGTGTGTTCTTTAATTTTCGTTTTAATTTCTCTGCCGCTTTGCCCTATATATTTAATATAGCAATCATGACAGTTAAGTTGGTAAACCCCGCTTTTTGACAAGTTGTCAACCCTGTCTTGACGGTTTGAAAGAACGTACCTTAAAGAACGTATGCGTACCTCTAAAAGCTACTCTAAAACTTTAGAAATTTGACATACTTTTTCTCATAGTTCACCAATGTATGGTAAGAAAAACCTAATCATTTTTGATAGAGTGGCTGAGTCCGATTGTTACTTCTTTTAAAGTTAATTTTTTCATTCATTGTACTAGCTACCTATCAATAAATATTTCTTGATATACGTCGTTTTAAGCTATGGTTTTAATTGTTTCTAATTCTTTTTATAATAATCAGGTGTTTTAACAATGAGCGGAATGAATCTGGCAGCTTTTTGGATCCTTGGGAGAGAAGAATTTGCTTGTGTCATGGCGTCTATAGTTGTGAGTTTTCTATATATTCGTCTAGATATTATTACAATTAGGTTATTTATTATGGATGGGTTTAAGTCTAAAAAGTTTAAACAACAATCTTTATTTATTTCCAATGAAGAATGCATATTAGGGTGTAAAGAATTAATTAATTATGAGAATTCTATACATCCTCAAGTGTTCCCGGCCATATAAATAAAATATCGTCTATATAGCGTTTCCAAAAAAAAGAAGGACAGATTTAATTAATTTATTGTTTGATTTCAAAGGAATTTTTTAGTTATCTTTGAATATTTCGGCGCAAAGTGGGGATAATGGGGACACTTTCATTTCTTAAAATTTAACCATATTTGCTTAGTAGTCATAATTGACCATATTAATTATTCCAATTAATTATTCTTTTTATCTCAACCGAAAACCTTAGATAAAAAGAATAGTTAATTGGAATATGTATCATGTTTTACAAATTAGTTAACAGAATTTTCCCTAGTTTTTGTTTTATTAGTTTTGCACATTCTTTAACCGGGATATTTGGAATAAATTAGTAACATCAAATGATACTAAAACACAGTTGTTACGTGTAATCTTAACTGTTTTATCAATATTAAAGAATTGTTAATACCGAATGTAGGTTTTTAATTATTTTATTTAATTTTTTAATTATTTTAGTTATTATTATCGCGAGTGGCATAGAAAATTATAAAATGACACTACTGGTCTTATAGGTTAGGTTTCCCTGTGAATTTGGCAGTAGCCTCAACATTGGGTGATTTTGAGTTACATTCTATTTTAAATATGTATCTAAATAATACTTGACGTAAAAATTAATGACTATTTTAACATTATTTTCTTAGAGTATTTATTAAGATAATATTTAGTTGTGCTGTAATTAAAGTTTTTCGCACGTTCAAAATTGAGCGGCAATAAAAGCCAGCTTCTCATTGGAACGTCCCGTCGGTTAACTCTTACAATTGAGCAGTTATTTTTGAATTTTTGAAAGTGGTATAAGTCCAAAAAAACAATTTTTACGATTTTTTAACGATTTTTCCAGATAAAGTAAACCAAAAAACTTTGGCTATAAAATGTAATCGCAAAAATCTTTTTCTTTTTTTTTAATGGAAGGAGTCCATTCCTAATAATTATAATTAAAACTACTTCCTTACTTCCTTATTGTAATTATTATTGATTATTACGGCTTCAGTGCGCATTGCACTTTAGAAAATATTACTTAGCTAGTTCTAGTATCCTAAAAAGAACATTAACAGTAATGGTATTATTATTCTGATGAAGTGGTGAGAATTAATTTTACTGATTTTGTTCAGTTTTCTTTCGAAAATCTTTCTGATTGGTTTGTGTCTCTTATACTAATAGATTGCAGCATGAGTAGTATTTAAATATCAAATATATATTAATTATTTAAATATTAATTAATTAACTAATTAAAATATTATATTAAATTGAATGAGAATAGTAGTTTGAGCAGTTTGCAGCATTAATTCAAGATTGTTACAAACTAAGAAGAGGATTAGAATTTTAGAATTAACTAATTCAACGACTGACGAAGACGATGTTACTAATTTTTGATCACATTATGAAAATAATGATCAGAATATTAAGAAAATCAAAAGAAATAACAACAAAAATATAAAAGGGAACTGGAAATATTATTCCTGCAAAGAAATTTGATATGATGAGTTTACTACCTTAAATACCACCTATTTACCATGAATACTTCATTATGCTAACTGAAAAGGACAAATAAGTTTAAAATATAATTTTTTTATGTTTAGTTATCTTAATGAAGTAATTTACATTTTATGCTTGTTTACTCATATTACCTTTTTAATAAAACTGAAATTAATTTTAAAAAATCCATTTCAATCAAGCTAATGTCCATAAAAACAGCGTAAAGTGCTAAAAAAATATGACTTGAATTGATTAATGTTTGCTAATATTTTAATAATAAATTAAATAAATTAATAAATTAACACAAATGCAAACTCTCTATATCTCTATCTATATCTCAGTATATGAAAAATGAACTTTTACCACTTTCAAATAAAACAGCTCAATTCATGTCGAGAGATGTGGTCGTTACTCTTTCAATCTGATGATGAGCTTTAAGCTTGAAATCTGGATAGTTGAAAACAACAACTGTGAGTAATAACTACACACTTACACACCTTTATCATTTCTACTAATTTTTTTTAACCATCTTGCATAAAAAATGGAAATAAAATTTACATGCACTTCAGAAGCAAAAATTCATCGTCATGGAATTTTTTTTAACTTAACGATTAAAAACTAAAGGGAAAAAGAAAATAACAATAAGGCTATAATTGCAACAAGTATAGTGAACACATGACAAATTTGCCCAAGTTAAGATTCTCAATTGAATTGACATGTGAAGAGAATTTTCCAACACAATAGCGAGTTATTAAATATATCTTGAAATTTTTTATATTGCCTTAAATTCTTCTGATTTATCTGAATCAATCGAGCAGATTTGTCAGTAAATTATTGACATTTGTGCTCTAATTTGTTAACAGTAGAAATTTTACTGTATTCAGTCTAATTCAGGGCTTCTGAAACTTTTTATACAGCAGGCCCCCTTCTCAAAACAAAATCCAGGATGGACCCCTTTCATTCAAGTATTTAAAACTACATACTATAGTATTACAGTAAATTAAAGTTGTATAAATTAGCCAGTCCATTCCTGTGATGGAATGGGATGTCACTATGAAAACAAATATTAGATTGACATCTTAACTTTATTTACAAAATCAAGTTGGACAGAACGTAATCAGTAGGTAGTCAAAATTCAGGCCAAATTCAAAAGTAATAATTTGAACATTAACAATTAATGAATTAAAGAGAAGAGTGAGATTGTTTTAGCCTGCACAATTTGGATATGTTGGGTTTAATTTAGCTGGAGACAGATGGGTTCTGAATGTAGACTGCTTCAGTATTTAGTTTTGGTGGTTGTATCGATAGAAAATCCTGATTCATATAGGTAAGTTGTGGCAAATTGAACAAGAACAAGTTTTGCTTTTTCGAGCGGTTGAAATTTTTTGTTTTCAAATCGAAGTCCAAAACTGGGAAGAAGGATTGAAAGTAGATTTCAAGGTGGAGTCTGAAGTAATGTATATCAAATTCGTATTCACTTGAAGACTGACAGACTGGTTGACTTTGTCGAAACGAAACTGTTTGACCCCTTATTCATGGTATTGCAGCATTGTATCTCAAACTGTTGGGAAGTAGTGGACATCTTCAAAACTTCGAAGGTGTTCACATGTTTCATCAATCAACATGCCGTTCACAAGCTACAGTTTTTCTTAAAGAAAAAAAAATCACAGGGAAACACTCCACCTCTTCCTTCTCAACAGATTAAGCCTAAAAATGTATATTTCTTTTAAAGGCACTATCTTTGTCATTGGCATCGAAAGCTGTGATATTCTTCCTTTGAAAAGAAACACTCATCTCATTCATTTTTAAGGAAATATCTGATAAATACAACATTATACATTGCCTTTTGTTGTTATTGTAAACATTGGCTAATTTGACATTGTGAGCAGTCAACAAGATAAGACTTCAGAAAGTAATTCCTTTAATCAAGAGACAGCTACCTCATTTCTGTATGGAGAATTAGGGAATGATGAAGACTTCCCCATATTGTCACATGGTATTGTGAAAAGTCTTGAGTTCAAAGGCCACGACTTGATATAATTAATAATTTGAAAGACTCATCCAAAACATTCTTAAAAAAAGGCTGGAGTTTGTATAATAGTTACAGCATGTCTGTGGAAAACACAATGTCTCCTGCTTCAAAATACAAAACTTTCATTTCCAGTACTCATTGTTATTAGTTTTTTAATTTTATTAATTCATTCTAAGTTTATTTTTGTAAATATTAATTTTTCTCAAAGTTCACCATGGACCCCTAGTTAGAATTGGCAGACCTCCAGGGGTCCAGGTACCACAGTAGAGAAGCCTCGGTCTAATTCAATTTGTGAAACATTTATTGTAAGAGAGTACAAATGGACATTGAAGACCCCCTGTAATTTGGTCATTACATATCATCCTAGTTAGTATATTGGTTCAATGAGAATGGCAAAATTGCAGAAATGAGCCTGAGAGACCAACACAACAACGATAGCCAGACCAAAATGATTAAATGAAATTAAAATGAATTAAAGATATTGTTAAAATCAAAGTAACTTATCTATTATATTTTAGTTTAGTATTAATGGATAAATAATTAGTATGTACACAATGTCATTTGTTAATATTTTTTTGATGGTTTTAAATGTTGGATTGTTACTATTGTAGATGTTATGTCAGGAAAAATTATGATTACAACAGTTAATAGATAATAAACAGGTTTATTTGTTTATACTGTTAAAAAGTATTTTTACTGAGGCCTTGGTCTCTTCAATAATTCTTTACATCAGAATTTTGAGAATCAGTCACAGTGAACGATAGTTTGTGAACATCAGTTAACCCAACATAATAAGTTGAACATTTAATTATTTATTGGCCCCTTTGTTTATTCCATTTACGAGGCAAGTGGGTTGCAGAAAAACATATTTATTATTACTGCAATCAAACAATGTGAATGTATAATGACCTATAAATATAGGTAAATCATATAAATTGTAATTTTAAAAAAATTTACTCTTTAAAGGTACCTAGGTAAATTGTGGGAGCAGAAATTAAATTATGTCAATTGGCTGATAATTACCTTTATTGTGAAATCACAATTTTCCCAATCTATAGATCTTCCATATAGATAGATGGATGTAGTATATTGGTTGGAGGATTTCCAGAGGAACATTCTGACATTTAAAAATTCTTTAACTCCATGTTCCACAGTATGGAGATTATCCTACTCCAGCCCGGAGCTATGGCAATTATTCTTCTAATTTGCCAGAATAAAAAAAAACTGACAGAATATAAATACTGTATGGAGTAAAATTGCTCATACCATTTTGAGACTAGTCAGTTATATGGCGTACATAAGCTTCATACTTCATGGCCCAGGTTTTTATTTTTGGAATCTATGTTCCCAACGATCTGAAATAAACCATGTAATAAACTGTTATAATAAAAATTAGTAATCTCTAGAGGTACCTGGGAGGATCGTTGGAATTTTCATTGCTTTCATCATCTTCATCATTCCATGATTTATTTTGGATTATCTCAATCATCAATTATGTGATATTAGTATTTCTGCATCTGTTATGGTGGTTTCTATACTTCTTGATTTATACCTTCTTCAACGATGCAGAAATGCTTTGTAGGTGTAGATGGGGTGAGCTATTCAATAGTAGTTCTAACTTGTTTTGTCATTTCATATTTAATATTTGTTCATGATATCCAATCAAATGATGAATTTATCATTTGATTGGACAAAAGTGGACAGCATGATGCTGTCCAGGTGTTTGTATTTGGAAGCTATGTTCCCAACGATCTGGAATACATAAACCATATAATAAATTGTAATAATAAAAATTAATCATCTCTAGAGATACCTGGGAAGATCATTGGAATTTTCATCGCTTTCATCATTCTCATCATTCCATGATCTATTTTTGATTATCTCATCAAGTATTTTCGATGTTAGTATTTCTGCATCTGTTGTTGGTGGTTTTTCTACTTCTTGATTTGTACTTTCTTCATTGCTTGGATTTTCTTTGCTACTGGAAGGGATGTCATTGCCATTCTGATTTCTATTATTTATCTCTACAGGTTGTACATCTTCATTGGTTTCTTCATCTGAAATGGAAGCAAGTGTGTCTACCTCACCTCTTCTCTGACATGCATTTTCCCTGTTGGTCTCTAGTTCTTGCCTCTCAAGGTAATTGGGACTGGAATTTTCATTGCTTTCATCATCCCATGATCTATTTTTGATTATCTCATCAAGTATTTTTGATGTTAGTATTTCTGCATTTGTTGCTGGTGGTTTTTCTAATTCATGATTTATACTTTCTTCATCGCTAGGATTTCTTTTACTACTGGAAGGGATGTCATTACCATTCTGATTTCTATTATTTGTCTCTACAAGTTGATCGTCTTCATTGGTTTCTTCATCTGAAATGGAAGCAAATATATACTTGTCTGCCTCACCTCTTCTCTGGCAAACATTATCCCTCTTGGTTTCTAGTTCTTGCCTCTCACGATAATCGGGAATGTCTATAATTTCACGTCTGAAGTGAACATAAACTTTGTATGCTCCAACAGCACAAATGGTCACAGCCGCAGCTTTCAAGCCTAAATTTACAATCTTTTTCCACATGTTAATCTAATTTTATGCACAGTTCTTATAGCATGTATGCACAGGTCAAATTAGATATTTAAATTGTCACTATGGAAACGTATATTAAGAATTACTTAAATATTTGTTTTAACACATGACAACTTCCTTTCTACACTCTATAAGATTTGTATGATGCACATTTCTTAATTTTCCTTATATATAACAAATTGTTTTAATATGTGCTATAACTCGCATTTAAAACATGGACCACCATTGAAGTGTTCTCTATTGAACTTGAAAAATAGGGAGAGTGAAGCCTTTCTTTATGTAGGAATTTAAAAACAACTATATGAACAAATAAATGATTTTCGCTTACTTATATTTAAAGATACCAATATACTAAAGCCAATGGATCTGCACACCTAAGAAGACAAATATTATTTACAGAACATTAATGTAACTCATTGTTGGTAAATCAACAGTTTAGGTTTCAAGTCTCATAAAGTTACAATTGAATTTTTTAAATTTATTTCTGGTGCTATAATAAATTGTCAAAGTAGGTTCCATGTTATATTCCAAGGTGTTGTATGCTTTGATACATGATAATGTATATAAAAAATTAATCCATATTTGCTTAGTGGTCAAAATTGACTGTATTAATTATTCTTTTATCTAAGGTTTTTGGTTGAGATGAAATATTAGTGTCACGAGCGGGATCGATCCCCTTGGACACCAAGTCCACATCTCAACCTACAACCTTTTGAATTTTCCCTCTTTTTTGCCAAATTTTCAAATGTCATGTAATCAGGATTCAATTCTCAGTAACTTATGAAATGGAAAGCTGTTAGAGAAGTAATTCCTTCTTTTAATTATTAAATTAATCCATATTTGCTTAGTGCTCATAATGACCCTATTAATTATTCCAATTGATTGTTAAAGGTTGTGGGTTCGAATTCTGCTTGTGACACTAATTTTTCATCTCAACCAAAAACCTTAGACAAAAAAATAATTAATTGGTATGTAAAAAACTTAGGTTTCTATTTATTTTTAATGTAAACTCTTTTACACGCTTATTAAGAAGCATATATGACAGATTTACAAACTATGTAAATGTAAATAATCGAGGTTGATGGGCTCAGTGTTCCACCATCCTCCCACACTACACACTAATAAATACATTCATATTAATATACTTGCACAAAACAGGATATCCATCATATACTATATAAAATAAAATAGCAAATAAAAACAAAAATTGGAACAGGAGATAAAAATACTCGCTGCCTTACTCAAGCACAGTTCTCAAATCAGGTGGCAGTCCAACACACTCTCTATATAGAGTCAAGGACATTGTGCAACTTTCTCTACACATATGCGGGATAGGGTTAGAATAAGTTGTGCCAACCTCACATAGCCTATTGTTTATTCGGTGAAGATGATTCCACTTCTACAATTCAAACCCCTCTGAGGGCCACCAATCGACCTTTGTTGACTTAAATGGACTTATCCATTTATTTATAAATTATTAAACCCTAGCAAATTTAACTGTTTGGAGAATATGTTTATGAACCAGGACAAGTAATCTTATTTCAATGCAAGACTATTTTTCAAATAATCTAAATTGGTAGGTGCAAGGCTTTGGAATGTGCTTACAGTACTTCCAATACTTAGAGGCCTCCAGTCAGTTCTTTTATGCCCAGTTATCGATGATACCTTTTTCTATTTTCCTTTTCTTAAATATTTATATTATTTGTTGGTTAATGTCAGAAAACATTTCTGTTTTTTTTAAATAATTTTTTTTTTAATAATTGCTTATTTGCTTAATGTAACTTATTTAGGAGAAGGTGGATTGTGATCTATCTGATGAATGTAAAGAAATTATTTTTCAATGGACCTCATTAATGACCTCAACTGTCTGTTCTAATCTAATCTTAATCATTTTTTTTTGCTTTACCGGCTAGGGATCCGCTGCGCCACTAATCGAGGGTTGATTTGTTCTCATTATTAAACTCTTGATAATTTGATTGTTCCTCATTTTTATGGAATATATTTATAAAGAATTCTTCAAATTGGTTGGATAAACTTAAGCAAACGTACTGAAATTCATGGCAATTTTTGTTATTTGAATTCGCAGATGGGAGGCATTGGGGTTCGCTTCTGGTCACGGTGTGTTAAAGGTCTCATGCCTCAAGTATGCACTTTTCATTGTACACATGATTTATTAATGACATGCGTAACAAAAGAAGCAAATTGTTATATTATTATTAAACTTATTTTATCTAATTATAACTACATTATAATTGGGTTTGTGATTTTTTTCGGGTCTGGAGAGCCCATGGGGGTACATTTGTCCGAGGTCCCCAGGGGGCCTTTGTTGTGTGAGATATAATAAATAATGTTTTTAAGTAACTACTTTTCTTACAGAAAAGACAATAATTTTTCCAATTTTTTGTGTACTTATGATGTATGAGATATAATGAACAAACAGTTAAATAAACCAAGTGAATTTTTCAAATGATTATTTTATCAGTGTTTGGGAGGGAAAATGGTCGCATTTGTATCAGGGAGGTTGCAAAACTGTTATAAACGATTCGAAGCCGCTTGTTTTCACGTTTGTCACCCGAGCTGTCATTCGTTATAACTCCTCGGCTGGAAAGGGTCCAAGATGTTCCCGGAGCCGGACGAGTTCGGACTCAGCTTTTACGAGCTTTTCAGGGTTCTTCCTGACACAAAGTGAGTCGCACGACTGGAATCCAATTAAAAAAATCAATATTGAATCATTTTTATTTCATTATATTGTTGAAAAAAAGTTTATTTGAGCAAGAAAAAATAATGTGTGTAGTTTCTCAAACAATAGGATAAGATTGTCACCAAGGTTTTGAGGTTCTTAAGTGTTCTTTTCATTCGACACTGCATTTGCCAATATGAGACGACATGCCACAATTTTTAAAGATTCTGTTATTTTACGGTAGAGCTAATGCAATTTGGATGTTGAATTTAAACGAGTTTCTGTGGTATAGCATGGTGCCCAAGCAAGGCATCAAACTCTACGAGTTTATCTAATAATTTAAAAAAGCATTTTCTGTTAAAGTTTTACCACTGCGAACAATTTGATTTGGGTGTCCATTTTGAAAAGTGTTATGCCATTGTGCCATTTTGTTAAAAATCGATGAGTTAAGTTTTTCCATTTCAGTCAGTTTTTGTACACGTAAATAATATATTTAAGAGAAATCATCTGAAGATATGGTACTATTACAGATGTTGTAGGTCCGATTCCTGCTTGTGACAATAATTTACGGGTCACTAATGTGATTTGAATGTTAAATTTAAACAAGTTCCTGTGGTATGACATGTTGTCTAAGCAAGGCTTCAAATTCTGACAGAATATTGAATAATTAAAAACAGAGCATTCAACATTAAAGTTTTACTCATTCGGGAGTCCATTTTGATAAGTGTTTTGACATTGTTGATATTTTATTAAAATCGACCACTTCATTTTTTCATTTTTCAGTCAGTTTTGGTGCTCATAAATAAAATTTAAGTCAAATAATCCAAAGAGAGTGAAACCACTCCACGAATATTAGCATAGGCCTTGTCTGGATAAAAGATTATTCCAGCGTAGGGTGACTATAAGTCAGGAGCCATATATCTGAGCCAGGTGGCAGAAGCAATAGTTTTAATCAAAAAATACCTTTAACTGGGAATGTGTTTAGCTTGCCATGTTGCTCTGTCATATATCAAATATTTGCCATCAATTACAAGCATGGCACAAAGCCATCTGCCATAGTTTGGTATTTCTTATGACAACAATAGTTTAATTTATTTTAGAGTGGTACTATATACAATAAACATAGATCTTAAATCCATATAATAAAAAATAGAAAGGATTTAAATGAACAGGAAAACTGGAACAAATAATTCATTCAATGATATTAATAAAATTTATATGTTTTGTTTTACTCGTTTTAATAAATACATAGAGTATTTATTTATTTTTTTGCCATGAGGTTATATGAAGTATGTTTTTGAAGAAAAAAAAGCCCATTTATATGTTTCAAGTATGTTTGTTGCATTTAGGGCCCTGAATTTGAACCCAGGACCCTTACAATCATCAGTTACCTTGTATTTATTCTTGATTACTAGTTCTGGTTTTTTTTTTTTTTTAATTTGTATAATTTTCAATATTTCCTAATGTGCATAAAATATTTTTTATATTACCCAGAGTATTTTGATGAATGAATAGAATTTTGTATGTTGTGTATGTGTGTGGGAAGAAATTTCAGGGGTAAGGGTGGGAATTGAACCCATCACCGAGCTGAGTCGGCTACCAGGTCTTTTACATTTATCGTTTTTAAATCTTACGTTATATTTTATCATTGTTTTACAGGAAAAAGCTGGAATGGAAGAAGCATAAGAAAGGGAAATCAAAAGGAAAAGAAAATCGCAAACCTAAGGTATTTGTCTATTTATTGCCCCACATTAATATTGTTATATACAACATGCATGGGTCTTTTGTATTTCACAGGCTCCTTGTTTTAATGAAATTTATATTATTATTTTATTTATAGATTGAACTTGTTGGAGAAGTTCCCCCAGAAATAGAAGTTGCCGGCAATGCATCTAGCTTTGCCGTATTCTCAACAGTGCGACTTGCTGTGTTGGAAAGATGGATGAAAGAGGCTAATGACTTATATTTGACGTCTTCTAGTAGTGCACCTCCTCAGTCGGCCTCAAACTCCGACAGTGAAGATGAAAACTCACCACCCACACCACAACCTGCTCGAATCCCAAAGGTTTCTTGTCATTTTGGATTGTTAAAATTCCATCTTTAACATATTTTGAAATTTAGATAGTTGGTGTTGGGCTGAGAAGTGTGTTCGAGCTGATAAAGGAGAGCAGGTCTAGCCATCCAGCACTTTGTACTAAAGCTTTGACCGCCTTGTTGGATGTTGTTCAAGGGCATCAACCGGAAGGTTTGAAATTGGAACCACCAGAGGTTGTAGGTATGTTACTTAACTAACAATATATACTCAAATGAAGAAGATAGTTTATAATAGTAATTAGAATAGTCCAAAATTAGACTTGCAATCCTTACTGAATTTTACTGAAATTTTACTGAATTCCTTAATCCCTTATTCAACTACCCCCATGTTACATTTAACATGGTTGACTTGTTTGTGATCTGAGGTGCTGATGATTCAGAACAATAATGCAGGTCTCATCCATTGCGATCCAAATGACCCACTGTTCCAGGGAACCTACTGAGGTCATGTGCTGGCAGACAATCAAACCCCTATCAGGAAATATGAATATTGGCACATGCACATCTTATTACGTGTTAATGTTACTTTGCCTTCTTATTCAGTTATGTTAGCAATAGATGAAAACTTCAAAGAATTTCTCAAATGTGTAAACACTGTTCCTCAGTAATTCCGTAGCTGTTTTCAAGACAAAAGATTTTTATTATCTCCCTTCTTTTTATTACTGAGTTGGTGTTTTGGTCTAATTTACTGTTAACTGTTAGAGATTTACTCAAAAAAATGCCTAGATGAACAATTTAAACAATACTTTATTTTTGTAGAACCACTTTTAGAACTTCTGTTGGAGCTTGCCACTATGCCACAAGAAGGTAGTTCAAACAGTGCCTCGCATTTAACTTCAGTGGCCTGCTCTTGTCTCATCGCTCTAGTCATTGCCCGAGGTGATACCGGAAAACTCTTGAGTGCTTTAGCTGCATTGCTTATGTGCCCACATTCAGTATCACAGCAAAATATCCATGTACGTAGCTTTCCAAATAATTAAAAAATATACAACATTTATTTTATTATATAATAAATATTTTACCTTACTTTATCATCTATAAAGTTAAACTTTTTTTTCCCAGATGCCGAGTATTTTAGGCGCTCTGCAGAAAAGCGTTCTTGGTGTGGTTTTGGGAAAAACTGTAGCTCCTGATTGGATTACTCATGGTATACCAAAATCTGCATTGCTTGCTCAGCATGAAATTTATGCAAAACCAGGTATTAAAACATTTTATAGCATACTATTTTGGCTTTAACTCAATTTTTTTTCCCAGAATTATCTTCTGATTACACTATAGTTGATAAAGCTATTGCTAGTGACGGTCTATACCTATACGTACACACATCAATTGGGCTGCTTAAGATGGGTTCGGGATATGGAGGAACTTTAAAAGGTCATATTTACATTCACAAACCAGATTTCTTTCCAAATAAAACAGGGTGGCTCGGCTATGCTCAAGTAAGCTTAAAGAAAAATAATGGATTCTTAACCACTACAAATATATTTGAAATAATTTTTAGGGAAAATTGTATTTCCGATTGGGTAAAGGAAGTTCAGACCGTGGTGAACTGCTGACGGTGAATAGTGAAACACTCGAAGTTAAAGAAGTCGGTAAAATAGATAGCCCTGGTGTTATGTTCTCAGACGGCGAGAATCTTGGAATAGTTACGCCTACAAAAGAGGTAATAGCTGTGTTAAACAGTAATAATAAAATATATTGACATTTTCTAATTTGTTCAGGATGGGTTTGTGGTAAGGAGTGTGAACCCATCATCATTGCCCCTTAATTTTGTAAGTGAGCTTCCATTAAAGCTAGCTCGGAAATGTGTTGTGGCCTTTGGGTATGCTATGTTTGACGAAGAGACTTCTTTACATAACTTGAATTCTGGCGTTGAAGAAGAAACTGCCTCAATAGTTTCTGGCAAAGAGTTTTCTTTAATAAGAACCACAGCAGGAAAAGTAATTTTTAAGCATTTATTTTACATTAATGGACATTTAAACTATAAAAAAATTACTTTCAGTTGTACTTCAGTGGTAAACCATCTTGCCTTGGCCTCAAGCAAGGAGGCAAAGGTGGAATTGGTAAATGGTCAGAATTGATTATACCTAAAGCACCAAAGATTGTACAGGTTGCTGCTGGGCATGATGGCATGCATGCAGTTCTCGTCGCTGAAGATGGTTCGGTTTACTTTACTGGCACCGCCCGACGCGGGGAAGATGGAGATCACAGTAATGTCATACAAATCACATTAATAATTAAATTTTCTTCAATATAACAATTTTAGGCAAAGTACGAAGGCAGCCCAAAGCAGTCAAGCCTAAAAAAATGATGAAAGTCGATGGCTATGTTATCGTATATGCAGCGTGTAACAATGGCACAACAGCTTTAGTCTCTAAAGATGGAGAACTTTTGATGTTTGGCAAAGATACAAACCATTGTGAGCCAAATACAGGTTTTGTTACAGACCTGAGAAATGTACATGTTACTCAAGTAGCATTAGGAAAAGCTCATGCAGTTGCTGTTACGAACAAAGGCCACCTTTACACATTTGGAATAAATAACAAAGGTCAATGTGGTCGTGAATATTCAAATCAAGTTAAAGAAGGTAAGTTCTTTTTCTTTCTTTCCCTGTTTTTATTTTATCAGTATAAAACATTCTGTGCAGCTACAATTGCAATGGAAACTGCAGTGGAAGAAGAAGGAGGTGAAGAAGAAGAAGGTGAATGGGGCGATGAAGGCGGAATGTGCCCTCCTGGACAGCATAAGTGGAAACAGGATCTTTGTATGGTGTGCACCGTTTGCCGAGAATGCACTGGTTACAGCATCAGCTGCCTGAGCAGTATGAGCACTGACAGAATCCCCGGACAGTGAGTAAAAGTTTTAATCCAACTTTTGACACTTTTAACTGAGCATATTTTACCCAGGGAATGCGGATGCGGCGAAGGCGATTCGGGTTGCTCTCAATGCGGCGCTTGTCGAATATGCGCCAGGGAAAATGTCGACAATTCTGACATGGCTATTCTCGGCCCAAGTGGAGCGAGTGATATTGCTGGAATGATGAGACTTGACCTGATATTCGGAGGTACTTAAAACTTTTATTGTATCATAATTGTCTTCCTTGAAATTTTATATTTCCTTCTTCATTAATAAGTGAGTAAGTTAGTTTATTTCTTTTTATGTACCAAACTGTGTATATAGTTTTTAAAACTGTTTTTGGCTGTGGAATTAGTTTTGTGGATGTGCCTATAAACAAATTTTTCTTTGATGACATATTATACAATACTATCCTTTAAAATATTAGAGAAGTGATAAAAATTTAAGACCAGTTATTTTTATGTTATTTTTTGTTTAATGAGTAATATGGGCTAAGGGCGTCAGTGGCCACAATGTTTAGGCATTGAAACGGTGCTCATTACTGTAAGGTAAAGGTCGAGGGTTTGAATCCAGAGGCCCTGCATTCAAACGCGACATACTTACAATTTTTTTTTCCAAAAACTCCGGCACCCCGAGGGTTCATATAACCCCTCGTAATTGAAATACCTTTGTTAAAAAACATTATTAGTATGCCTTCTGTTAATAAAATCCTAGCATAAACAACTTTATCATACCATTTTTTTGTAGATAGGTAGGACATTACCACTGATGTTATATAAATGTAAATTCCTGTCTACTGCTAAAATGTGCTTGTTAAAAATATAAAAAAATCTAATAAATTTCTATAAAAAGTTTATTTCTTGATTGAAAATATAAATTGATGCGAGCAGACGGCCTGAATGCACTGATATTTTAAAGCTCCTATAAATTCAAGACATTGGTCTATTTAATGTGTGGTGATTAGTGACCACCAGACCGCATCTCACGATTTCTGAATAATCATTGGTCTATTTAATTATACTTAAGTTCATAAAAATACGTTTATATCTTGAGCTTAAATGCAATTTTCAGTTGTGCAACAGTTGGGATGCCATGGGTTCATATGAGAGTGTGCTCACACTAACTAAATTATTAGCAACTAAACAGTTTAAGTTTTGTCTTAAACTGTTTATTTTCTAGCTGCACAATCAACTTTAGATCAATGGGAGGAATGGTACTGCGCTTACTTGCAATCAAACTACAATAAAATTTCTTATCTTAATGCTGAAAATTCTTCATATTAGTTAGGTTTAGGTTACTAGTAGTCAGCCTCTTTACGACCTTGTGCACCATGACTAATATGCAAAAGCTACACTAAGGGTTCATGTATACTTCATGTCCTAGGCTTTCCCTCTTCCAGGAGTAGAAATCAGCCTGCATAGACCTTTGTATCAACATGCCCTACATTTAGTAGTTATGCAATGGTCCTTTAATTGGTTTTGTTGAATGTCATAGCCCTGAAACACATTCTCATTAAATCAAGGACTTAATAACTAATGTAGGCTAGGAAAAATATAATTTTTCATTACAAAACTGTTTTTATATTCATTTTATTAACCCTGATTAGCCTGATTAATAAATTGGTAATCATAATTATTAGTATTAATAAATATATATTTAATTCAGTAAAATGGTGGGAATGGCCATTTTTTTTGCTTTTTCTTCTTCCTTCTGAAGTATAGAGCACAAAACACAGCTAACCAATTGAAGTCCATCTTGCAACCGGTTGAAAAAGAACCCCATTGAGGGAATAGTTTAGTTGCATATAATTGAAAATTCCATGAGAATGCTAAGCCAGTGATTATTGACTTAAGTTCAGAAAAAAATCATTCTTAGTTATTGAGATGATTTAATGAAATGCTTGCTTATACTGCATGGCAAAGCTTTTGTATCAATTTTTCTCCCCACGTATTGCGATGATGAGGTTAACATAAAACAAATAAAGTTTGATATCCTTTTTGGTAGATTTTTTTTCTTTTATAGTAAAAAACCAATTGAAGAAAGTCTTCTCTCTATTCTGTTTGCTTACCTTGCTTCAATAGGATGTAATTAATTTTATTTTATTTTTACTGCAGATCATAAGAATGGCGTGGGTAAGTCAGTTTTTGCTATTTATTATTTTTCGTTGGTTTTATTTTAACATTGACATAATGAATAAGTATTTTTGCATTCTTCACTTCTATCAGGTTCATGTGTATGTCTATCAAATTATTTTAATAATTGATGATTTTTCCATTTTCTTATAAATGATCACTCACTACTAATGGAATTAGAAAATGATATTTATATCTAGCATGATATTCCAGGGGGAGTTAAAAGTTTATAGAAATATTAAAGGTTGGATTAGTATGTAGTATATCACTTTTTGTAGATGAGGAACAACAAATTGTCAATAGAACAGTCATTTACAAAAAAAAAAAAAATAAATAAATAAATAAAATAAAAAAATAAAAAAATATTTGTAATTGCACTGTGTTCTGCTTGCACTATTTCATGCAATCAATAAAAAATAAATAAATAAATAAATTAAAAAAAAATCTAGGTTTAATATTCCAAGACCTCGAGTCTCTTACAATGATGAGTGTCAATCACTCTAAACTGATTTCAAATTTATAATTTAGTTATTTGTTAATTATTTCTCTAAACAATAACTTAGCGCTTGGGTCTGTAAAATATAATACATCATTCAGTCAGTTCTTTCTTCCAAAGAAAATTAATAAAAAATGAATTTTAACTCACAAGGGGAGGCATCATCGAGGGGGCACTGATTTCAATGAATCTCATTTCAGTGATACTAGGTTAAAAAATATTGTGTCTGAGGGTTCCGTCCAATGAGCCCCTGGAGCCAAGAAAAAATATTTTAGGTGTAAAAATGACCAGAAACAAAGCAGTCACTGCTCTCTCATTCAATTCAAATGAAATTTTAAGGAATGTAGTACATCAAAAAATATTAGATACACGTATACAGTTTGTTGAAATTAGCCAGGAATAAAATGTTAGATGATATGGTGTACTCTGGCTTTGCAAAAGTCTAAAAGTTAATTTTAAAATTGGTTAATTGATAAAAAAACATTCTAATTTTTGATTTCTTACTTCATTGTTTCTTTAAATTTCTTTCCTATTGGCATTCTTGTATTACCTTCATTCCCAGGGGATGGTCTTATAGTTAATTTTATTTACATAATTTATTTTTGTTTTTACATTACAACAATAAAGGAAGACATTATATCTGGACTCTTCTTTTTTATTAATTAACAAATGTGTGGTATGTAGAGACCATTAACACACAATCTCTAACTTATCATTAACAAATTTTAAAATAAACTTTTAGCTTTTTACAAAGCTCACCACCCCCTGTATACATGTTATTTTCTGGTGCACTAACATCCCATAAAATTTCACTTGAATTGGTTAAGAGGGTTGTGAGCAGTGGCAGTTTTATTAATGCAATTTTTGTTCATTCATAAAAGTATTTTTTTTCTTGGCTCCTGCAGCTTATTGGATGGAACCCTCAGACACTTTTCTAATATTTTTCAACCAAGAATCACTGAAAAAAGTTTCATTGAAATCAGTGAACCCATGACTAGCCTCCCTTGTCAGTGCATGTTAAAGCAAAATAATGATATTAAAACTTGCAAAGTTTAAAACTTTGAAACCTTTGCTTTGAAATTAACTGTTTTATAAATGTTTGATATCTTCATATAATTATTGCAATCCTTCAATAATATATACATTTTGATAACAACAAAATTAATTTTAATAAAAGCCTTTATATTTATTTCGTCATATATAAATGTCAGCCCCGTCATCAATTAAAGTATGTTAAATACATTGAATGTTTAAACAATTTTCATAACATTTGTTTTTTGTTAATGGCCTCATCAGAATTCCTTTCAATTTGGTGCTTTTATACTTTACATATACATTTTAAATTTATTTTAATTATAAATAATTTCAACATGCATTATTGAATATATTATGCTTTAAACTGATAGATTGCTTAACTGATAACTGAAATTCTGCTGCTGAATTTGTTAGCCAGCCATATAATCTTATAAAAAACAATATTTGACCACCTATGGCAATTTGCTTTGTGCCTATTTTGGCATCTCCCTTGCTTTTACTTTTGAATTTTGCACTTATTTCATATTCCGTAGCGAATGGGGCTGTAATTGCAGGGCGACCAGGTGGAGGGAGATTTCAAGACCACCTTCAGTGCAGGTTAGAAGAAAGGAAACAGCGACAGCATGCTAAATTAAGCAGTAAGCACTCTGCTGTCCTTAAGCTAAAAGGTGCTAGCGCTATCGGGCACAGAGCACCAGGGTGCATGATCCCTCAGGCGAAAGTAATCCTCTGTAAGGCTGCTTTGTCTGGCCAGCCTAACAATATCGGTAAAGTTTTTTATTCTTTGAATAATATCATTATTGTAATAAAACAATATTTTAGGTGCAGACGCAGTTATGCCTGTAGGGAAAGATGCAGTCGGTAGTGATGTTGAAAGGGATGCAAGTAGAGTGTCTTCTCTTCCACCTGCAATGGTGGTTTTGCCCGTTGACAGTCCAGTTATCCAAATAGCCTGTGGACTACACCATACAGGTTATTTTGATCGTTCACATTGGAAATTGCAAATTCATTTTTATTTCTTTTCCAGTCGTGCTTGTACAAAGCGGTGAAGTATTTACATTTGGGAGCAACAGCTATGGACAACTAGGGGTTGGAGATATTATGGTAAGAGGTGGTCCTGTCCAAGTGAGATTATCAGCTCCAGCTATGCATATCGCTGCTGGTGGGAATCACACCGTTGTGCTTACTACTAGTGGTCATGTTTACACTTTTGGCAGTCACCAGGTATGTCTATAAGAAAAACTCAATATTAGACAGTACATTATATTTAATTGGTTGACAAAAGATTCAGGTTATTTCTTAGTTGAATCATTTTTCTTCAATCGACGCTTGAAAGGCGCATTCGCATAAAATCCAGTCTCAGCCTTTAAAATAACACGTTGTAAATATATCTTTGCATAGGCAAATGACCTCTTGTCGGTAATTTTCCTTAGACCTTCGGCGATTACATTTGAAAGTTCGTCGTACGTTCTGTTATATAACAAAATTCAATATATTGGTTAGTCAAGCCACACTTAAATACACAGACACTTATAATCTTGACATTTAAAAACATGCTTCACATAAATTCTTAAGTTTTTTTAAATAGATATTTACTTATATAATGAACAAGGAAAACACTTTTAAACAGAAATAAAAAGTAATAAATTAATACATCTTACTCATTAAAATGTTTATACAATTATTTATTGCCTATTCTTGAAAAATAATGTCAAGAATTGAATGTTAAAGAATAATTTTGAACTATTTGAAGGGTCAATAAAGTATTTAGTAATTTCTACAAAATAAATATTGTAATAACACCATTATTTGGTAACTGTAAAATATAAATTACTGATAAATAATTTACTTGATGGATTGATGAGGTCGTTTCTGTGGTTCTACTTCTTTTTTAGTCATATCAGGATTGTATAATCCGCTTTCAGCTTCGCGTAATATCTTTTGAATATTAAACTTGGCCAATGCAATTGAATATTGGTCTTTGACTGTTCTCAGCTGGGAAACGATGCCATCTCCAAATGCTTCACACTCGTCCTTGTACTGTTTTGATTTTTTCGATTTATTAACATGGGTAGTAAATTCGTGAACAGCTATATCAAGTTTATTGGTGTCGATTTCTCTTTTCACATTAGAACCCTTCTTTTTGATAAAATGGCTGTATTTGTCCGATGTCGATGTTTTCAAACTTGTTTTTGATGTTTGACATTCCATCTCGTGGAATTTCTGTTCGTTGAGCTTGGCTGATGCTGCAGTTTGAAATATAGTTATATTTAAGACATTTCCATCAAAGGCATACTCCTTTACTTACATCCTCTCTTCTGAACTTGAAGAGTCGTTTGTTTTTCTTGTACCATTGAATTTGTTAAAACTACGTATTGGTGAAATTATGTGATAAAAAAATGTTTCTGTTGACCCTAAATTTTAAAAATATACATAAATAAATCACATGATTTCTATTAAGTTTCATATTGTTCTTTTTTTTTCTATATAATAATCGTCAATAACTATCGCTTTTGATAATGTAAAACTGTAAATCTAATAATCATTTTTACCTAGCAATATAATACACTAATTTCTCAATGTATAATTTAAGTTTGGCACTTAGAATTTGGTCTAAATTCTACAAGTTATCTTGCAAAACAAAATTGAAATTTATATATATATATATATATATTGGAGATTATTGATTATGACTAGATACTATTATTGGATAGTACCTATCATCTTGGTCTAACTATCCTTGCTGATTTTGTCAGCCAGATGCATTTTGGCATTTCGCAGTCTTTGATGTTGAGTTGGGTGATATCTTGTTAATAACTTAGCTTGGATAGCTTTGTTAAATTGTGAGATTTCCTCCTGTGCTCTGCAGGGTGATGAACCTGTAGTTTGATAGATACTTATCATCTTGACCTCCTGTCTATCTTTGCTACTTTGTCAGTCAGACACATTTCAACATTTCATATTCTTCAGTGCTAAGTTTGGGTGAGTTTTTGCTAATAACTTAGCTTGGTTAACTAGGTTGAATTGTTAGGAGTTAACCCAAAGAGTTAGTTGTTTACATACAAAATAACTTTCTTGATCTTTGGTCCTGAGAAAGAAGGACATTAAATACGGTCCTGTTCCTGTTCCCCTGAACATCAGCCAATATGTAGATGTAAATATCTTTGACGAGTATGTCATATTTTGCATTTCAAGACCATTTTGTCTATGAATATGCTTACCGCTTACCATTCGATTACATTTTTATAAGCTCCTTGAGTAATCACATAACTGGAGTGAATAGTTTGACTAGAATTAAATGTTATTATTGCATTGACTTCATTGAACAGGTTAAATGTAAACAGTAAGAATTTATACTTCTAACAGACATGACAAATCCCAATCATCTTTAAGCTGAAGTGTATGCAATAGTATGAAATTCCATTGATCTTTACTTGAAGAAAAGTCAAAGAACTTATGTAAAAAGGCCTTTAAATTTTCATTTTGTAAATCAACATATATTTTATGTTGACAGAAAGGACAACTTGGTCGTGGGACGATGTCGGTAAGTGGCGGAGAAGGAACCAGTAAGAGGATTGATTTTGGGCGAAGCCCTTGGCATTCGATCCCAGGCTCTGTCAGTTGGGTTGGCCCAAGGCAAGGACGTAGGGCCACATGGGTTGGGGCTTCTGCAGATCAGACATATCTCAAAGTTGATGAAAGCCTTATAAACTCAGTCAGTCTCAGCCATTCTACAATTATGGCCAATCGTACCTGCATTGGTAATTAGTTTTGTGTGCATGTGTTATTTTCTTTTTTTTTTATACAATTTTGAAATGTCTGAGCAGTGCTTGTGCCGAAAAAGTGTGAAGAAGACAAAAGCTTTAGTTGTTTGGTTATTAACAAACGTGATGGAAATTGCTGCAGTTTTAGTGAACAGGATCAAATTGATTTTTCTGAAAGTTCAGTCTGCTTAGATCCTGTTTACAATGTGCTTTGGAGGTATAGTTTGAATCCATAATTTAAAAAAAAAAGTAAGACTCATAAAAGTAAATTAAATGTTTTGACACAGCTATAACCGAGGTCAACTTAGATGCTACAATGCAGTCTGTAGTGAGGCAAAATTTGGTGTTTGGTCAATTTTAAGTGGACAACTTGCTTTACCAACAATCCCAGGACACACTGTAACCCGATCCCAAGCAGCTTTGCATTTACTTGCTGCTCTTGACACGCTGACATCTACTGAACACATTTTGAGTCCCACTGCTGAAGAAAAAAGGGCCCGACAATCGCACACCAAAGTGTACAGCAAAGAAGATTTCTCAACTGTTAGCCGATTTGAAAGTATGCAGTGTGTTTAATTGGCTTTGATAAAATTAGTAATCTTAAATTTTGAAATGAAGGTCATGGAGGTGGCTGGGGATATTCAGGTCACTCAATTGAAGCCATAAGGTTTATGTCTGATACTGACATTCTCATTGGAGGTTTTGGTCTGTTCGGCGGAAGAGGGGAATATACTGGAAAGATAAAGGTTTAATAATTTCATATTATTTTAAACATTCGGTTCTAAGATGGATAATTTTTTCAGCTGTTTGACATTGGAACAGAAGGAGGAGAACAGGAAAATGATGGGGAATTGCTGGCCGAAACTGAAGAAATTCCATATGAATGTGGTCCTCGACAGAAGTATCCAATGCTCTTTGAAGAGCCGATATCACTTTTGGTAAGTAATTGAAAGAAGGGCACCACACATTTGGTTAGTCGACTTATTGTTTCTTACTCTATCTCCTAACCCTAACCATCCCTAACCATCCTGGAATTCTCTGGTCTTTTGACTCTCCTATTTCTATTATAACAATGTAAAATTTATACCAAAAATTATGTATTATTATGAAATAAATGTACGAGTTACTATTTTTTTGAGTCAAATTTTTATTCTAGGCAAACCGCTGGTATGTTGCTTGGGCTAGGGTCAGTGGTCCATCTAGCGATTGTGGTTCTAGTGGACAGGGCATGGTCACAACTGAAGATCAGTATGTTAACACTTTTCAATATTTGTTAATACGTCATAAATTACTTAATTTAATTTTACATTGCTTTACATAGGGTTGTCTTTTATTTCAAATCTTCAAAAAAGTCAAACAACGGTACAGATGTTAATGCTGGCCAGATACCTCAGCTGCTTTATAGAGTTGTCACACCAGAAAGTCAAGCGCCAAACAGGCAAGCAGATTCATCCGAACCAGCTTGTATTTTATCAAGAGAGTTTTCTAGAGCTGTGACAAGGGTATGGTCGTATGATAGATTGTGAAGAAAAGGTAATGTATAATCCATTTCTTAATTTACAGGATGGATTGCAGTCATTACTTGCACTATTGCGCTGGAGTTGGAGCACATTTAAAGTTGGCCTACTTGATATGGTCAATTCTTTATATACGAACGCACATCAGTATGAATTTCGAATTGGAATACAAGAACAAGAAAGGCTGGTTTACATAAGCAAGGCCTGCCTTCGACTTCTTCGGATGTACACAAATGAAATTTATCCTAATCAAAGTAAACCATTTTATCATTTGTTTTCTGAAAAGCCTAGCTAATGTATATTTTCTTTTCAGTTGTATGTAAAAGACAAGTCCCTGAATCAGTTCTTCTTGCTGAATGTGTTGGAGATATTAGAGCTCTGCTGAAACAGATTTTGTCGGACACAACTGTGAAATGTGACCCAAGGCCAAAAGGAATTCTTGGTAATTTTTTGTTTAATTTGTCCTTAAAAACATTTAACAGTGTAACATTGATTTATAGCCGTTGGTGCCAATAAGCAACTTGTGGAGGACATTATGAACGAGTGCCATCACACTTTTGTAGCTTGTTTTCACGCATTTTATCCTACAGCATATCTCAAATGGACTGCTCTTTGTGACCTCCTTGCCAGCATAAATAGAGTAAGTACTACAATATTTGGCTAATATAAAATATTGTTTTTTTACAATTTTTTTTAGAAAAACAATGGTGGAATTGATCAATTGTTGACGTCTCTGTTGGCTTCACTTCGTTGCCCTTCTATTAGGCTGAGATCGACATTCCCAATTTTGAGCCCTAACATGGATGCACCTGATTCACTTAAAAAACAATTATCACCATCTGATAACTCAGGGCTTCCTATGATGCCTTACCTGGATACACACCATTATCCCATACTTGTTGAACAGATGAGCTACAGGAGTCAAGTTAGTTTCTAATAAGCAATTATCGTTAAAATATTTAATTGAATTTTGCTTTAGATCGAAGGCGGGGGTTTAGGAAGTGGCTGGGTACTCCGAGATGTACTCGATCGCCTCTTGGATATAGTTACAATACCAGTTAAAGAAAGTTTATATGAAGCTCCACTCTCTTATTCAATGAAACTGACATTCAATGCTTGTCACATTCTTTCAAGAATTGTCGCAGAACTGGCCATATTCGCAAGTGGAACTACGGTATTATACACAAGAAAAATTTTTGTAAAAAAAAATCTTTCTATTATTCTGGTGAAAAATTGTTTTAGGATGACATGGACGGTGCATGCGGTCGTGTTCTCCATTCCACTCCATCTAGATTTACGAGGACAAATCAAAGTCGAACTTGGAATACTGGAAATGGATCACCGGATGCCATCTGCCTCTCTGTAGACCGACCTGGTGTTGTCATTGCAGGGGTTGGAGTATATGGAGGAGTTGGAAGCTATGATTATGAGCTAGAAATCTTAGATGATGTAAGTTGACATTTTTTTTAAAGTATTGGTTAGAAAAGTACTATGTACAATATACACTGATGCATATAAGTGTGAAAGTAATGCCATTAGTAAAAAAATTTAAAGAAGCAATGAAGTAAGAAATCTAAATTTTGAAAAAATTTATCAATTAACAAATTTTTAATTTTTTGTAAGCCAGAACACACCACAATATTTAACAATTTATTCCGGTGTTAATTTCACTAAACCTGTTTACACGTGTCTAATATTTTCTGATATACTAAAAAAAATTTCATTTGAATTGATTGAGAGAGCTATCCAACAGTGGCAGCTTTTGTAGAGGCAACTTTTGGTCATTTTTAAACCTAAAATATTATTTTCTTGGTTCATGGGTCTTATTGATTGGAACCCTCGGACATGTGTCTAATGTTTTTCGACCTAGTCTCATTAAAAAAAAGTTTAATTGAAATTGATGATTTCATAACCATAGTCTCCCTTGTGAATTTGAAACTCAGAACTTATTGCATGGCAAATACAAATTGGACAACCTGACTCCGACTCCTTGTCATCGTTTGTATTACGCTTAATTGTAATATTTACAGAGTAACACAAGCTACGATCATACTCATACTCAGAGATGGAACAGTTTACAAGTCACCAGGGGATCCTTTGGACCAGAAGATTGCTTAAATGATGACATTGCTGAAATTAAATTTGATTTTCCAGTGTTTGTGAAAGTGAGATTAATATTCTATTTACCTGTCTTACAAAGGCTTTCTTTATATTATTTTTTAATGTAAATTTTTTAATTATTAATTGTCCTAAATCAGGAAAATGTAAAGTATGCCATCAGGCTAAGGAATCATGGTGGGAGAACAAGTAATGGCGATGGAGGGCTTAGCACTGTAAAAGGCCCTGATGGGGTAGTGTTTACTTTTTCAACTTGTTCACTCAGTTTTAATGGCACAACGCAGACGAGAGGACAAATACCTACTATTCTTTACTACAGGTACATTTTTTACGGCTAGTGGTAAAAATGTTTTTAAAAAAATTATTTCCTTACAGCAATCCACAAGATTCAGAGACCCATGCTCAGAATAAAGGTGCAATTGAGTCTCAAGCTCGAAGAATCACTTTAAATGTGACCTCAGCGATCGTTACAAGATGTTCTGAAGTTTTGGCCATGGGTAGAGATGTTGACAATATCAAATCGTATGACACTCTCAGTACATCTCATCTTGTCAGAATTTTACTTCCATTAGTTGTCGCCAACATTAGCCCACTTGCAACTTCAGATCCACGTGTAAGCCAATTTTATTAAAGCATTTTAATATCCAAAAATTAATAGACTCGCTTGTGAAATTTATATTACATTTTTTTTTTATTGTAAAGAGTGCAGTTCAAGTTCTTGGTCTATTGCAAGAACTTTTACCACATGTATCTGCGTTGAACCTTCTCCATTATGAGTCCTTCAGGTCCTGTTCAGATGAGACAGCACATGACCAAGCAGGGGTTACAACGTCCAATCATAGGGCTTGGGTAGAAAGTGATCATCCTTACAAACCAGCAACAGTCTCAAATTACAAGTAAATGATAAAAAAATTACATTGTGTTGTTTCTCTTGAAACTGGCTCTGGGTCTTCCTCCCAAAACCAGTGCCAGTTCAAGACCGGCTTACAGACATCCACCACCAATATTAATTTTTGTTAGGGTTGTTTTTCCGGATTCGGTTCAGTGGATGGCATTGGAATTCACTGTAGATTGTGGCACTGCTCAGGCAGAAGATTCACTACAACTTTATATCCCAGCCAATAGAAGATTGTGCATTTCTGGTGAAGACATAAATTCTGATTTGACACCTTACTGGCCAGTACTTCATCGTTTTAATAATAACCCAGCTCTGTGGCCTCAATCTGCTGTCATTCTTCCAGGTGATGGTAAAATTGAGATATGCTTTGCAACTGTTTACTTATCGTTCAGATTTCTGTTTGTAGGAAATGAAGTTGTATTTTCTTTGGAAACAGCTTCAGACTATGTTAAAGATGAAAAAGCCAACTTTTATGGTTTTAAGTGTTTAGTCACAGGTTATGACTGGCACACAGATATATACGATGGTTTAAAACTCCTCGAAACAGAACTCGCATTTCTAGGTGGAATGTGTTCTGCTTCGCTTATGAAAAAAGACCTTATTTTACCACCATCATCAGGTATTTACCATTGAATCATCCCTTTTTTTCATATTATGAATTATTATGAGTAAGATAGATCTTATTTTTTAAAGCTGATGAATTAGATGAAGACATGGAAGTCGTTGAAGAATTGGCCCAGCAGGTGTACTCGAAGCATTCATCATTGCTTGGAAAAGGATTTGCCCTGGCGAATCCGCTCTCAATAAATCAAGCTTTAGATGGGGTTCTTCCATACAGGTAATAAATTTTTCTATTACCTATAATTTTGTTTAAGGATGTGTTAATTGAAAGTGTATTAATTTATAAGTATTTATTTTTCAGGTAAGCTCATTTGTGCAGAATAGTGTTGTAAGTTTTTATTTTTTTAAATTTTTTAGTCCTTATGTTTAATTTCTTTACGTGCAACTACAATTAATTATGAGTCTGCACTGATTTATCCAAAAATAATTTGGAACAAATTTGTGGTATGAACACCCAACCAAAACCAGACCGCTGGTATAATCAATATAATCATAATTTCAATGCATTGATATTATTACACATTACTATCTCGTCCTGAACTATGTTTGGAGGATCTTAATGAAACTTTTTTTACACACAAGATAAGAAAACAGTATGTAAGATTTTATTGAATGATATAAGATATGTACATAAAAAGTAACCAAAGCCAGAGGTAAAAATAGTGCAGTAAAATAGGCCAAAAAACATTTTGTTAGAGTAAAACATTCAGATTCATTTTAAGCAATATTTAAAACCAACAAATACAGTTTCATTGCAATAAAAAATAGACATTTTCTCACTGGATCTGTCAGGAACAGTTTTTTTCTTGCTGGTGGTCCACTTAACAATTCATAACTCCACTGGATATGATTCAATGTCTACGGAATTACAACCATTGGAAAGCTACTTTATCTTCTCTAGTCCATACTCTCTACCAACATCCTTTGATTTTTATGGCATTGTAAGTGAGACAAATAAGGTTGAAAGCAACAAAAACTCCCCAAATGTTTTATGTTTTATTTTTCTTGTTCTGATTAATTTACAGAGACCAGATTTCTGCCATTATGCCTAGTTTTTTGTAGGGTTCTAAAACTGTAAATGTTTCCTGCGTAGTCATTTCAAAGTTATTACAATTTTTTACAGGATTTTAGAAGGCTAACAATTTTAGAATTTTTTTTTCCAAAAAATTGTATTCAGGGATTCTTTGGGTGCAGAACACGAAAATCAGCTTTGTTTTTTGCTTTAAGGAAAAAAAATGCAAGTACAGAAAAGAATCAATCTGCAGGTGGGCGTGGGCCAAAATTAACTATTTTGTGACCTAGAAATATAGTAGGGTTAATTTTTTTTAAACAAAGTTTATATTAGTTTCTGCACATAAAAAACAAATGTGAATACAAAGTTTGGGGAAAATTAAAAAGTATTATTAAAAATCATTAAAAAAAATTTCTGCCAGCAAAAAGCTACAGTTATAGCCGGCGCTACTCTGGATTTTCCCTTTATCTGTGTTTTTTCTACAAACCTATGGTCTTAGCTTAGTAAGCCCCTCATAGGCATTTTACCTTCTGCTGAAATGTGGGGTATATCGAACATGTAGCTTCTTTCTTTATAGCCATCTCCTCGCACTCGTGTGATGATCCATAATCAGTCAATATTATAGCAACATACATACACACACAAACATACATATAGACACAGAGTTTAAAACAACCTTTTCTATAACTAATGTAACTAGTGTACTTTATGCCAATATCATCTACATCTGTTCCACTTACAAGATTATTTAAGTCGTCGATGTACATTGATTTATGTACAGGCACTTCTATTTTAATGCTATGTTATTTAAAGCTATCTCAAAGAGCATCACGGAAAGTACTGATCCCTGGGCAATTTCATTTGCTTGCAGATATTCTTTCAATAATATTGTGCCCCTAATCCCCCATTCATGGCATTTCTTGACAATCCCGTATTTCCACTCGTGTCAGGCCAGCTCGAGGTCGAAGAACACTGCTATGCAGTGTTTTTGTTTAGGAACACATCTTGCACTGCGTTCTCTAGAAGATTACCTGGTCGATGGCTGAGTGGCCTTGTCGGAATCCAGCTTGATTAGAGCTGAAGCTATGGATTTCAGGAACTAAACCAACTGCCAACTTGTCATTACTTCCATCATTTGCCCAAGACACGTGATGAGAGAGATTGGTTGATAGCTCCCGGGGGGCTCTAGGATCTTTTGCTACTTTAGGGACCGGTGACGATAGCATGTTTCCAGCTATCGGTTACAGTCCTGCTTTACAGATTTCACTGTAAAGTGTTAGCAGATCGGCCCTTGTGCTGCTGGATCCCATCATGTCCCGGATTTTTATCTTTTGATTTATTCAATGCAATCTCTAATTCTGGCATTGTCAGATCTTCACTGATCCTGTCTGTATCATTGCTTTCTAGATTCAAAGATTCAGTTTGTCTTATCTGTTTGAAAAGCTTCAGTGTAGGACTGATCACTCAAGATTTATGCATTTGCACAACGAATCTGCAACTTCCTTGGCATCACTGATGGTTATGCCATTTATTTTTAATATAGGAACAGGGATGGTTCTTCTGTTTGTTATCTATTGAAAAGCCTCAGCCTTCGTCATTACACTAGGGCACATTCTAAGCTATTCTGGGCCCCCCGTTACTGTTATAGATTCTGCAACAACAGCCTTAATAGCTTGTGTCACAATATTGACATCAATACCACATCACCAGTTATTGCCGGCAGGATAACTGATGCCGAGTAAGTGGACCAGTCAGCTGTAGGATTCCCAGACCAACTAAACCTTCAATGTTGCTTTTTACTTTTTTTAAAATACTTTTTTAAGCATTTCTTGTGCCCAGAGTTTTATGGCATAGACTCACCTTCGAACATAGATAGGGGGCCTTTTGCTAGGACAAAATTTGGGCCTTGACTCCTGCCCACACTCTATGTTTCATTTTTGTATTCATTATGCCTAATGTAATGGACTGTGAAAAACAACTGGAATTTTCTGTTAATTTCATTTTGTCAGACCTTTTTGAAGCCATCTCATTTATTTCATTTTATTTTGAATCAGAATTGGTTGTTTTGAGCAGTTTAGAGTGTCCTGTGTTTCATTTTATCATTGTATTAGAATGAATTTTTTTTCAAATCTAATAATTTTATTATCACTTGAACTATTGTTTTATCATTTTTTAATTAAAACAGTTTCTCGCCAATCTTAAATAAACTACATCCACTCAAGATAAAAAGGTCTCGTCTGAAAATGTATCTTATAAAAGCAATAACAAGAATCACAGTTGATATTTAATAGTGAATAATGAGATAACAATTTAAAAATATTGTACACATTCAATCTGCAATTTCTTTAAATTCTTTATGAAACAACTAGAACATTTAACAATTATATTTTCTTTCAAAATGGCATTAAAGAAAACATCTTTAGCCTAGAACATTATCTAAATTGATAAATTATTTGTTAATAATTTTTTTTTATTGGGCTGATTCATTTAAGGTCCAGGATAATTCTATCCTTCCCATGCACTGTTTTGTATTTCAAATGAGTTTCAACATTTTACCATTTTTGATTATTGGTCTGTTGCTCTGGAGGTATAAAAACGAGTGAGAATAAGCCAGTTAAGATACATTTATCACCTTACAGACTTCACAATGTCTTTCAATATATTTGTAGAAAGGATTCTTTTCTTTAATTTGGTGTTTACTCTCTTTCTTTCCAGGTTTTGCAGTTGAAAATCGGACATAGTCTTATTATGTTTTTATCTTAAGCACTTGAAAGACATTAGTGTACAAACTCATGGGTTCTGAATATTTAATTGTAGTTCTTTTTTAGTCCACCTTCTTGCCTTTTTGGTCGAATCGTTCCTTCCTGAACAGAGGTAGTGTTAGGTAGTTTTTAATCTATAATTAGATTTTGTTTAAATTGGAACGTCAGATATTCTCTTATTACTGTGGTTTTGTATTGCCATTTAGAATTTGATCTACCCAGAGATTCATCCCTTTAGGCTAAATATATTTTTTCATCAATGCCCTTGTTTTTATGGCAAAGTGATATATATTCTCCTTACTAACTGTTGAACATTCACTACATGCATACGTTATTGAGCCTTAATAACAACTTCTATTCGAATTAAACAATGAATTAATAAAATTTGTTCTCATTTGGAAATGTTAAATAGACGTTATTTCCGATGTGGATGGGAACCCTAGAAGAGTTAATAAAATTTATTCAATTAATTCTGTTCACTCAATTATAAAATTAATTAATCTTTACGTAAGGTATAATAAATTTTTTTTTTATATTAGAATCAAAATTATTTTTAGTTTTTATTTTATTTTTAGATATATTTTATTTTTAGGTTTATTTACATTAGAAAGAAGTAAAATGGGTTGTTTAAAATTTCTACACTTAAAATTGTCTTTTATAGAAGTATAAAGTATGCAGAAAAACAATAGACATCATGGTGACTCTTCAAATACATAGGTCCATAAGTCTGCTGGATTTATTTGGCAAAGAGACTGTATGTTAAAACTCCCCCTAAATTCCTTTAAACTACTAAGTTTTAAGAACTAAGGCATTCAGAAATATTTGTCGATTGGTAGTTAAGTGATCAAAAAATTAGCAGTAGAAGAAGCATCATTGGACTTTGGCCACCCCACCACTAATGAAAAGTTAGATTTCTGTTACTCACTCCATCATAACCAGTTTAAAAATTAACATATTAGATAATAAGTTCACATAACTTTAATTTGCATAATTAATATCTTCATGTAATATTACGGCATATAATTTATTTGAGATTCTTCTGTGTGGTCTGGGTGTGATGAATGTGTGATTTGATCATTAACGATCATTTTTATTTGCCTATGCACTGGAGGCTCCAATACAGCAAGAATAGGTAGAACAAAATTAAATATTATTTATTGCAAGTAAAGTAATTCTTGTCTAGTAGTGCTTAAAGTCACCGATGAGGGGTCATGCCACTTTATGTAACATTTGTAGCATTTCTCATGCTATGTCCATTTAGAAAAACCATGTGCTCTACTTGGATACGAACTAATAGCTAGTGTGGTTAATACTAGTTGGACACCCTAACCGCTCGGTCACCGCAGTCCCCTTACCATATTTTATTGTTTATCAAGTATTATTTAATTTTATATACATAATTAATGTTTAATTTCCATTAATGATTTATTCTACTGGATAGTTTTTTTCTCTGCTATTTTAAATATTGCTATGCTTCATTGGAGATTAAGGTGATTCCAAAACTAACAGGACTAGTTGAATAATATTTCAAAAGAAACCTATATAGTGTTGTTTCAATATTCAATTGGGTTTATTTACCCTGGGCTGGCTTTGTTGCTGTACTCAGGTAAATAAGGCAGCCGGTTAGGTTCTTTGTTTTACCTTGTTGTTTAGGCAGAAGTGTTGACTGTGTTAATATCACTTTACTGCCATAACACAAAATTGTTTAGTAAGCAAACAACAATTTCGTATCATTAGTCCACGAATGCATCGCCTGTATAAGCCCATAGCCAATTTCCAATTATTGAATTAATTGTCTCTTTTGGTTGACATCGTAAAACAATAGTTCATCAAAGTTGTTGTCTTTTTATAGTATCCAAATGTACAAGTAAAGGTTTTGTATTGCAAAACATTTCATAAAACTAAAATGGAATATTAATGAAATTAAAACTAAATATTTTGATTGTTTAACGACTATACACTAATTTTGTTCCACCTTTGAATTACCTCTTTTTACTTACCTTTATTTATGAACAAGGGGTAGTTAACTAGACTTACTCAATATAGTTTATTTAAATCAAATTAATAAAGTTTAAATTTAAACATTTTATTACTCTTCTGTACCTATTTACATGAAAATCTACATCACTTAGAAAAAAAAAGTTTATCATTAAAGGAAAAAAAAAAGGATTTTATCATAATAATGTAGGCCATTAATATTTTGTTCTACAAGTACTTTGGTATCCAATTCCCTTTGGAAATTTTCGACAATCCATAGACAGTTTAAAATTAAAGTCACTCTGGAATGAAACATGATGGTCCCTTATGTGCTCACTTAAATCTCTTAATCCACCTTGTGTATTACAAAACAAAATATTCTCTCACAACAGAGATTTTGTGTTGGTATCGTATTTATTTATTGGTTCTAGCTGCAATACATTTATAACACGAAATGTGAAAACCACCTTCGGCGTGAATAAATACACCAATTTTCATAAAGAATACAAACAACTTATTTCAAACTAATGAGAATATGAAATAATTTCTATGTATGTGTGATTGTTTATTTGTGTACAATTCTTCTTATGCCCGATTAGTTACGGAATAACATTTTCACATAGATTAAGGGTTTTCCTATTTACAACCCTTTTTATCACATTTAATTTTGTGACTAGTATTCAAGTCTCCTATCATTGCGAAAGGAATTTGTTACGCTTGTCATGCTTTTCACATAATATATACAGTTGAATTCAATTTCAGCATAAATAACAAGCGAAAAAAATACGTTGAAATAATTCAATTACGTTAAAAGAAAATATATCCCTGAGTCCCGAGTTATGTACATTCGCTGTCATTTTAATACGCATTTGAAGACTAGATGGGAGTGGGTTAGATCGGCTGAGAAACGGACTGTGGTGGTACATATTCTTTTATAGGTTCAAGCCTCTCCTCGATGATATGTAGTTCGGTTTCTCTGTAAGTCTTCCCTTCCGGTATGACGATAATGTGGTTGCTGTGCGTTGAATGTACAGAAAGACGATTGTTTATAACGTCGTTCGTCGGGACGTTCATGTATCTTTTGGCGTGTCTTCTAAAAAGCCAGAACCCTATTGAGCATATTAGGATCAACGCCAGCAGGGTTACTATAAGAAGTGATATAACCCAGTAGACTTTCGTGGAGTTTGAGGTGCAGTGTACTCTTTCATAATCCGATGCTACGGAAAAGATATCCTTGCTCGTTGAACACCATATCAGTTTATTCAAATCCGCTGGCACCGGGTTAGCTGTGTACTTGATGAGCCTCGTCGACCAAGTTTTGATGTCGATGCATGAACACTTCTGGTCTAAAGTCAATCTGTCGATTTTTGGCTTGAGACCGGAAGTGTTGAAAATAAGTGCGTAATCTTCAAATTTAAATAACGTGTTATTTTCGAAAATGAGCTCTTGCCTTCCAGAATAAGACTGGACCCTTGGATCAAGGGTGACACCGGCAAATGCACCGTTCGCCACATTTTTGAAAACGTTGTCGTCAATGAAAACCGGCCCTCGCGTAACAATTTTAAAAGCGTCGCCTTCGAGGTGACCTATTATGGTTCCTTCTATTCTGAAAGTCGAGGGCCCTTCGACTCGAAACGCACTGCTTTTCACGTAGTCGAAATAGACGTGTGAAAGCTTTAAATTTTTCTTGACTGTTAGGCTGATGGAATAACTTGGAAGCGAGTCGAACTCCCCTCCTCTGATTATAAAAGAGTCTAATATGAATTTCTTGAAAGCTTGCGGTTCCACTGTTCCGATGTCGCTGTTGATGAACTCTAACTTCTCCATGCCGGCTATGTTCGAAAAAGCCAGGGCGCGTATGTGAACAATCCGCGTGTTCTCGAAAGAAACGGAGTTTAAATGGCCTCTGAACGCGTCCGACGGGATAGTCGGAATGGTGGAATTGTATACGTGAATGTCTATCCCCGGGTACGGGTACGAATCGAGCACTTTCGTAGTGTTCCAGGAAAACGCCTGCTCGTGGAGTTCTATGTGGTCGATGTTCTGGAACGTGACAGTCCTGAGAGCTTGGAGCAATTCGATCGCTTTAGAACTCACTATCACCTTCGCACAGGACGAAACAGCGATAGAGCTCAACGAAGGAGGAAGGTGGTCGTGACCGCCGGACCTCAGTGCCAAGTTCTGAAACAAACCACACAGATTATGAGATTTTTAGTCCGCGGGATGATGAACCTGTAATTTGGTCGTATTCGGTCATTTTGGTCTGTCTATCGATTGGTCTGTCACTCTCAATACAGAATAATCCTCCAAGGATAGGCAACCCACAATGATTGGTTACGACCAATTGAGAAATGTTTTGCTAGTGTAAAGTTAGGTTAAACACCTCAGGCTGAATATTCAGTAGGCGTAACTTAGACCAACAGAGAGAATAGGCAGACCAGATGTGTTCAACCTGCATACTAAAGAACAATTATATATAACATTAACTACACAAAAGAGGCCCAAGAAAATTCATCCTATAGTATAGAGGTTTTCAAAATTCAGATATAATAATAGCTAGGCTTAATTATCTCAGATCGATATCCAACAACAATAAACGCTGGATATTTTTGTCCATCTTAACCGTAAGTCTAGCCCAGGTTTTCAATTTTTTGTAGCATTTGTTGATATGTGTAGTAAACGTCAAATAGACAAGTAAATTTTTCCCAAAGCGTGATTACCGAGTGGATAGCACGTAGATCATCAATTCGGTTTAATAATAGATAAGGTGGGTATTTTTGGACAAAATCTATTTTCAAGTTGATCATTTCTCTGTTATTCTATTGCAAAATCAATGAGCACTTTGTTTCTCGTCATTGATAATGGGTGGAGTTTTTTTTTATTTAAACGTATTGACGACAAACAAAATAACTTGAAGATCTATTATTACATTAGCAAAAGAACTTTTTCAAGTTTTAATATTAAGTAAGTTCGTTTGTGTTAAGTCGGCCAATGTATATTTCTGGGGAGAAATTGATCCTACGTGATTAATAATGTCCCTGTAGTCCCAGCAATGAATAAGTCTATTTGATAAAGCACATAAACAAAGACAGTACGATGACGAATTTCTTCACGACAGTTTGACCGAACTTTCAACTATCCATCTTACTATCTAAAAAGATATTGCAAATGTGGCAAACTAAAAGTTAGTTTTCGAAGTTTGGTTAGATTTGATTGTTCTAACAGAAAATCAATAAATTCCATTGAGCTCCTACTTTCGGGTAATAAAATATATGAAATAACAGTCATATTTACCTCAAATGTTTTTTAAATTTCTTACAGACAGGATCAGCTACTATTATCTCTCAGTTGGAGTGCATGTTTCATTTATCTCAGGAAATGATAGTTTGTGACCAATTGGAGTCTAAGCATTAACAACAAAAACCTAGTCTTAACTATTTCCCTTTTAAAAATACTATCATAGGACTCAATTTAACGTGTCAGTGTTTCAAAATAATTTGCTTTTGGGTCCGCCTATTCACGATGTTTTTCTCCACACCTCCTTCCCAAGACGAAACGAACTAATCGAAAGTTGTTGAAATCCACAGCAATTTTTAAACGTTTATGGCATGATGATATCCTTCTCAAAGTAAAACGTGTCCTTGTGACTCATCTTTCTCTTCTGCCTAATGGACGACTCTTTCGAGTATGTCAAAGATCGTAGTAGTCCGAATTTTCCCTGGGATGCCGCAGGCCAGTTTGAATGGCAGGACTTACTTTATTGCTCTATGATACTTTTCTCCCTAAAAATATAGTGTACCCTACCTTCGGTTCTCGACTCACATCTGTCTGGAAACGACACACACGGACAAAATTGGCAGTAATTAAACAGTTACTTCGTACTTTTTTCTCCATTTGGAGTTGTAGGGATTTCTCGTTTTAGCACTTAATCTTTCCTTTATTGTGCTAATCTCCATTTATAGATTTCCTGGCCATTTCTTTTATGAAGTCCAGAATTTTATCAGGGATGTTGTATTTTAGTGATTGGGTTTCGAAGGACCTTGTGCTGTTGGCAGCCACATCAGCTGTTGAGAATGCGATGGGAAGAATGAGGGCTATTGAGGGTACACTTGCTGTAGCTCCCGCTTGCGGCTGGTTCAATTAGTAAGTGATGGACGAGACCTCGTCGAATTTGCTCTAAGGAGCGTGAGCCCCTGATACAGGGATGCTGCAAGCTCATTGGTTGTAGCCTGGAAGGCTGAACCATTGCTTAGTAGTAACTTTACTAATCACATACACAGTATCAAAACCTACCTGGCTTACGATCGGGGTTTCCGATACCAGTACCATAGCCTTTTCATAGCTTTGCAGAGCCGTTGCCATTTATGCCGTGTTAAACATAATTGATATTGGCCATCTGAGTAGTCTTTTTTTGCTTGCCTCATATCTGGTTTACGCTCCTACTATTGTTGTGTTCTCTAGTTTCCTAACATTCTAGTTCTTTTTTTAATTTGACTATAGTTTAGGACGCTTCAGACTCCTATACAAATTATCAAGAAAGTCATAATAAACTAACACTCGATAATAATGTACATAAATAAAAAGTTGTAGTTTGGAAATTTTCTATTGAATTTGCTTTTGGAAACTGAAATTATTTTCCCCATCGGACTATAACGGGAAATTTCGCAATTTTTAGAAAAGCCCGATCTTCCTATTACCTTCAGTCATTTAATTATGTCAAAATTAGTATTGATAAATTGGATACTTGTATTCCGATTGTCATCTTGTTTACGATTCTCTCCAACAATAGATATACATTTAATATTTCACACACCTTTATATTAACAGCTCTCCTTTCTGAATTATTCATCGGTAGTGTGATAGTAAAATGATAGCTTTTTGCGGGATTAACGGCTTTCTACGGTTAAAACGACAATCGAGAATAAGAGATTTATACTGTGAACAGATATAAATTAAATGATGAAGTGTATTCGTCCCGTGAACTGTGAATTGCAGTCGATTAGATAAGACACAATGATTCAACATGTTGACAATATGAAGAAATGTTTACATTGGTCTTTTACAATACATATTTTTTATACAGCGTAAAACACACTCAACTCTTGATATCAAAAAGTGTGAATTAAAACTTGTAGTGACTGTAAATTTGTCCATATGTGTAATTTGTGATTGAGTCGTATGTATAACGAATTCTTTCCTTTCTAACCAAATATTAATGTACTGTAAACAAGTGCCTTCTTTATGATATATAAATAAATTTTCGACTTCTATAAGAACATAACGATAGCAATCTCGTAAAACGTACTTCGTTCCTTCCCATTTAGAAACTCGTAAGACAAAAGAGATAGGAGGCAATCTAGTACATTCTTTTAATAGCTCAATGGCCAGATTGATCTACCATTCGCTCTGGGAGGTATTTACGAAAAGCTTTTCTGCGGTTTTCAGCGAACTGTTCAAACGGAAGCATCAAATCTCTCTCGAAATCGTTTCGACCCCGTACTTGCCGGGAAAAGCTCAAAGAATCATCGCACATGAGCAAATAAATGGGATTACATAGTCTAGTACTGTATCGTATGGCACGACAAATTTACATGATCTTTACTTTTCATACATTATATTTTTGGACACGTTTTATAAAAATAGAATCGGCGATTTCTTTCTGAATAGTTTATCCTGTTATTACTGACATCATATTGGCACTACATAAAAGCGTGTTGCAGATATTTACAGCGCTTAATATCTCTTGACAAAAAGACATCTCATTGATCAAAAAGGGATGTGAGACCTCCTTACCCACGAAAAACAAGACAAAAGTTGCCCAAAGCAAACTGTTTTCTATGCAATACAACTTTTATATGTTTATACTAGTCCTAGGCCAGGAAGCGTTTAAAAAGCCCACAATGTTAATGATAAAGGAATGGGCAATTTTTTTACAGCCATTTGTATAATTCCTAAATGCGTTGTTATCAATTTATTGAATTGCGTTACTTTCGGTTGCATGTCTTTCTAGACATCATCTTGGAAGATCGGAATAGACAGTTAATATATTTTGAGGCTGAAAACATACATATTTTTGAGTGTCTATTTTTGTTTCATTGGGGAATGCGCATGGGTTAGTTTAGGTTTGGTTAATTTAGATAGCGTTAGGAACAGGTTAAGTTAGGATAGGTGAGTTAGGCTAGGCTTGGTAGGGTTAGGGACGATTCAGGTTAGGTTAGCGACATGTTAGGATTTCAGAATGGTTTAGAAGGGTTAATTCTTTCAATTTTCCAAACACATTTAAATTTAAACTATTCAGGATTTGTAATGGACCTTAGATCGAACTTAATTTTATATAAAGGTCTGTATTTTCTTTATAAATATCATCCTCGGAATAAATGGAAAGGAGATCACAACAAGAGTTGGGAAAGTAGGTCTCCTGCGTTGCGTGGAAAAGCCACCTTTGTACTGTTTATAATCGACTTTTGGTTTAGGTTTTTATAATCGATGAAGGTTGTAGTTCTCATAGGTGACAACCCAATGGTTGTAGTGTACAGCTAGAAATCTATTTTCGAGTTGAGACCTCTTAAGCGTTGCCATTTCCGAGCAAGTTTTTGTGCCTTCTCTAGTTTAGACGTCACCATTTCACTGCACAACACCAGAGTGGACTGCATCGGGGAATACATCAATCGTCAGTTACTGCAACTTCTCAGAGTATCGCCCTCTGTTACTGACACCGCCTATGAAGTATCTTCCTTAAACCCTGACTTCGTCTAGACACACTTACAATTGCTAAGTACTACTAGACAACAAATCTATTTTCTCTCGACAGCAAAATACTCCAAATACACAACTCAATACTAAAACCAATATGGGCATACAACATAAGGGTTCAACCAAACGTTCCAAACTCCTAAGAATCAAACGAATACTTAGATCCATTGTCAGCGCTGTTTCCAGTTACACCATTCACAAAGACTATTTCCTGTAATAAAAAACATCGCAAGATCCAGTAATGAAAAATACCTCATAAACCTTAAAAATCCCACATGTACAAAATTTTTCTGGTCTTTTCCTCGACATATAAACAACAGTGGATAGTGATTAATAGTTACTGTTTTGCATAGTGCTTATGTTTTTCCTCTTTCTTCTATTTATGAAATGCATTAGTTTGACTTTATTTTGTTACTTTTTTCTACACC